CTAGAAAACGTTTCAAAGTGCTTTATGGCTCAAGCCCAGGGCTGGCTTAAGGCCGCGAACAGCAAGGGAGATTCACATATAATAATGTAGTAGATCTGTATGCTTCGCATTGATTTTGTCTGGAATTTTACTCGTCAATCTGATAATCATTCAGAGTCTTTCTCATCTTCTGATTATGGAGTGCAAAATACTTCAAAGAAGATGACTCTCGATTTTGATGGAATCTAAGGTTATACAGGCAGAGGTGATACAAATAGGAATATTAGCAAATTGGGTACATTTCATGGCAAGTGTTTGCTACTAAACCCATAAGGGACGAAGATTCATGGAGCTTGCAGATGGGACCTAACAGTGTAAATGTAAGTAATGCAGAAAATGCCAAGCTATTAGGCAGAAAAGACTGTTCTTGTCTATCGCTGGTTTATCATAAAAATGAAAATAAAATGTTGTCATGGATTGAGGGTTCTTAGGCTGCAGAATCGGAAATTGATGATCTCTTTAATGTAGCGTTGGGATGCGAGTAATGCTTCTTTCCCTTAACATTTGCTCCCGTGTAGAAATGGAATGGTTAATGGATCTTGGTAACTTCGAAAATCATACATACGATAATGTGAGTAAAGGAAATAATGCATCTAAAAAGATCTGAATTGCAACGAAGGTTTTGTCTTCAGTATGTTTTAAAAAAAACCGTCCTGATACATATTCCCTTACTGTTTTCCCCAAGACACAGTTAATTAAACGGAATAATCGTTCGCCGGCAAATTCTTTTCCGAGGAAATTGTTTAGCATGGAAAGTACCCGAAACATGAGATCCGCATGGACTTGTCAACATTATAAAGAAGCAAAGTCTTGAATGTTTCTATAATGGAGCTGTTGAGAAATCTTGAAAAGAAGGTATGTGAAATCAACTGAGAAGTTGGTTACATAGAAGTGTCTGTTGATTTGGTTTGATTATAGTAGCAGAAATTGGGTTCTACATCGAGGATTCTTGCAATAGTTTTCAGTTTGGATTTGCTTACATTAGAAACTCAGCAAAAAGAAGAACAGATATGTCCAAACATTTCTACCAAGATACTTTCTGCGCTCTGCTACTGGTTTTAAAAATATTCCACTTACACTGAGTATTAGAGAAAAGCAAAAAGAAAATTTCAATATGGAAGAAATCGAAAAGGAGCATACTAGGAATTGTGGTATAAAAGGGAATATTAGCTGAATAAGAGAGGTTGACGGGCGCAATTAAACGAACTTGAACAGATACAAGTCAAAGCGAAAGAATTGAAGTGTTCTCTAGCAAGAAGTAAAGTACAGTAAGGGAAAACTTATGCACATGAACTTAAATAGAAATGTGGGATTATTTTGTCTCAGTAAGAAAGAGAGCACAGGCCTCATATAAGTGTATGAATATATGGAAACCGGAATCTTTGGCTAATAACTTGTCATCCGAGAACCTTGACTGGAAACTAGGCCTAAAATCGCGGTAGGAAATCATGCTAAAGGCTTGGCACTTTATTTATACATGATATGAACAATGCTTGAGAGAGTGGTATCACTGCGTGACGCTCTCGAAAGGCCAAATAAACAATTACTCTTTCGATTCTTACTACCCAAGCGCATACAGTTGTCAAGATTATTGGGGTTATCTTGATTAGTTGTAGTGACACCGATGCACCTAAGTTGGCCAATAATCACAAGGGTTTTTCGAGAAGTAAGAGCACAAACCGAGAGGGTATATGGCCTCTGGAAATGGTACCAGCCAAAAGTTTCAGATTTTGGGTTATCTAGGTTATTTAGTAGAGATGACCTAATTGGCAATTTAGGGTTTTCAAGAGTAAGAGGAACGAGAGGTTATATGGCTCCTGAATGGATATTTAATTTGCCCATTACTTCCAAAGTGGATGTTTATAGCTATGGAATTGTAGTGTTAGAGATGATTACGGGAAGGAGTCCATCAATGGCTAGCTATGGTGATAATGGTGGTGAGGAAGTGGAGAATATGAGATTGGTGGAATGGGTGATGGAGAAGAGAAGAAGAGCTTCTGAAACTAGTATTTGGGTTAAAGAGATTGTGGACCCTGTCTTGGGGGTGAATTATGATGCAAAGAGAATGGAAAGTTTGACAAGAGTGGCATTGAAGTGTGTGGAGGAAAGCAGAGATGGAAGACCTACCATGAGTCAAGTGGTTGAGATGATTTTACAACTTGAAAGCTATCATTAATTAGCTGGAGAAAGTAAAGAAATTGATGTAATGTTGCTTATATTAATTGATGATTTTCATGCATGTAATTATATTGTATGATCCAAACTTGGTTTTCTGTTGTTAAATAATTTCAACATTATTTATTACTTTTGCTCGTTCACTTCGAATAATTTTGATTATTTGCTATTTTCCATTTTAGATGACACTTTTAAAAATTAAAATATGTTAATTATTTTATTTTAATTCTATCCATATATAAATTACTATTTATACTAAACTTTGTCTCAATTAAATGGATATAAGGGTAATTTATTCAACTAGCCTTATTTATTTTTAAAATTGAGATTATTCAATCATTTTCTTAATTCTTAGGAAAAATAAAAAATTATCAAATTTAACTGAAACAGACAACATTACAAACTGTTTCCCTAAGCATGTAAAAGACGGAATTCATGTTGATATTTTTTTTTTCTCCTTTGTATATATATTTAAAATTTTTTTAAAAAATAACAAAATAAATTAATATAATGTTAACTCTTGACCTTTCTTATGTTAAAAGATAAGTAATTGACCTATAATATATTAGTTGGAGTAGTAAGCGATTTCAACCTCCTATAAAAGTAAAAATACAAGTTCAATTAATAGACAGTAAAGTTGTATTTTGTTTTCTGCATAAATTTTATATATAGAGCATTACATATTGTTAATCTAAACTTGCTTTTTTGGTACTTGAGTAGAAACATACTCCTTAGGCATGTAAAACATGGAATTAATGTTGATATTTATTTTCCATTATATATTATAATATATATATTTTATATATATATATATATATTATATATATATATATAACTCTTATAATACAATATTTTTTCATCGTTATTAGAAGAATAATGACAAAGTTTACCTTGCTTTCATCCTTATATTTTATGTATGTAGAATATTAATGTTTCAACAAAAATAAATTATTTCAATAAAAAAAGAAGTAAGAATATTTATTTTTCCTTTGGTTTTAATTAATGATAAAATCTTATTTTCATAAATAAATAAAGTGTGAAAAATGATATAGATACATATATTATATTAAATCTTTATTTGCAGAAAATAGCAGCCCAAGTGGATGTTGCGGGCATATTAAATCTCAGGTTCGATTCGCTCCACAGTAATATTTAGCAAGTGCATAACTTTTTTTCTATTGAATTCGGCTGCTTTCAAATGTAATGTATTTTTATAATTAAAGTCTATTTCTTAACAGCCGAAAAAAAAAAAAAAAAAAAAAAAAAAAAAAAAAAAAAAAAAAAAAAAAAAAAAAAAAAGAAGTAGCGACTTTGTTCCATTTTGAGTAAATGGTCAACGAAATGGTGCTGTTCCATGATAAAGATGAGGTGTATGTATCTTATCTGGTCCTCTGTTTGGCTTTGGAATTTCATGATTGATGGTCCATAACATGCCAAAGTCAACTGGAGGACGACTTTGAATAAAGCATTCCAACGAAATCAATTCGGAAAATTATAAATTTGTTCATTAAAATTAATTGCTCTATTTTTATATTTTTTAAAATATATTACTTTATTTCTATATTTTGATTCTGTCTAATTATTTTAACTTTCTGTCAATATTTTTTAAAAGTGAATATTAAGTAGGAAATTAAATATTTTTAGATCCTAAATTATGACCAAATTAATATTTAGGTCCCTCAATATTGAGTAATTATTCGTTTGCAACTCATATAAACGGAAAACAGGTAAGAATTTGGGTGGAAGGGTCTCACAATGTGACAGCAACATTACTTAGGTTCTTCAAAATAATTACTCTAACGTTGAAGGACCTGAGTGTTAATTTGGCATAATTTAGAGATCCGAAAATATTTAACCATTTTTTTTATCAAGTGATAGGAAAAAGATTTAATTGATGTTCGTATTAGTTGATTTGTATTTATATTATATATCACTTATATTAACATTATAAATTTTTTTTTTCTCAAATTAATATTTTACATGATCATTTTATTTATATTTATTGAAAAATAATAAATAACTATTAAACATTATTAAAAAAGATTTATTTTATACATCACATTAAAATAAAAAAATATTATATTTACTTTTAAAAAATAAAAAATATATGTATGATATGTAACGAGATATAAAAATAATTTTATCCTTAATGGTCATTTTTGTATTTTAATAGTAATTATTATTAAAAATTTACTGAAATAATTAAATTTGTCTACTAATAAAATTTTACTGAAATAATAATTTTGTCTACTAATAAGTCACCGCTAAAATAATGGGCTTAGTACGTCACAACTCCATCAAAGAGGGCCTTTCGACCCAAAATTGTGTAGAAATTGTTTTTTCATGGAACCTTGTGAGGGCTAAGTAAAAAATTGTGTAGAAATTGTTTTTCATGGACTTTGTGAGGGCTAGTAAAGTAATCACAACTTTGACCGCATATTTCAACCCATAATTTTTGGGATAATTACAAATTTAATGTCTAAAATTTCTAGAGTCAATATTTTTTTTTTTTTTACTAATCAAATGTATAAATTAAAAAAAAAAAAAATTCTCCACACCAGCAAAATTTATTGGTGCAAGTACTAGCAAGTTTGCAAGACCAAGAAAAGTGCAACTGCAAAATTTGTATTGCGATTTTCAAGCTTTCCAATTTGCAAAACATATCTCCAGTGTGTAACATATGGATGCAAAATCAAAACAATGACAAATAATTACTTATAAGATTCGGGGCACCTCCACACCGCGCGGCTTTCATCTGGTTGTTTTCTCTTTTTTTTTTTTTTTTTTTTTTTTTTTTTCTGAGAGTGAAGGAGGAACTGAGGAATATTCCTGCACAATAGCATTCACAAGTTTTGAGAAATGGTACAATCTACTCCAAAGCTTTGGCCATGATGGAACGCTGAGAGAGTTGCTGCTCATACAGCTGCCGGAAAATATGGTATTTGGCATCATGATACTTCTTCACCTTGGGTCCTTTGATGGATGAATAACCTGTAAAATTAAAGGAAATGATAGAACGACACAGACTCGCTAGCTTGAGAACCATAAATGGCAAGGTATTGCCATTCAAATTAAACAGGCAGTAAAGGCCAACTTAACAAAGTAGAACAGCAAGCTGAGGAGTGGTGTGTAATTATCCAAAACATGAAGTGACTAAAGGATCAAAATGAAAGTAACTTGGACTGGCCACTGCGCCAAAGAGTAGCTTAAAGAACCAAAATATAGTCCTAGTATAATTATGGCACAATCAGCAACATCATCCCTTTATGCCACACGAAAAGTCACTCTGGTGAAGAACAAATGTACAGTGGCATCTATTACATGAAAGTGATGTACTGTCAAAAGGCACAGTGACCCTAGCAGAGAAAGTTCATATATTTTAGATGTTAATATTAATGCCTAAAGCTGCGAATGAGTCTCAGAATGCATCTGTGTAGTGAAAGGCTAAAAAACATGACCACATGCCAAAGTACTGTAAAGCAAGACTATGAGACATAAGATAATTAGATGTGCATCAGTGATAGAAGCAGGGTTAGGCATAAAGTTCATAGCATAAGTACATCAAGTCAAGCCCTGGACAGCTAAGGTTCTCTGCCAAGGTTGTAGGTCTCATTTATTCAGATGTGCTGCTACCCATTTTCAGACTCCTATTTTAGCAACGTCCTTACGATTTATTTACAATGTTTCACAACAATCTGTGACATAAATCATTTTACAGGTTAATATTTATTAGAGTCCAGTTGCCTCAAAGTCCATTTTTTTTTTTTTTTTCCTTTGTGAGGTTGTAAGAAGTTGGTGTAGGGACAGGAAGAGTTGGCTAAATGGAATTCCAACAAAAACCGAACACTCTACTGCACAATTTTACATGGCATTGACTAACAAAAAAATATGCATTATTATCCTGACCTGGAAAACCTCTTTCTCAAAATATATATTTTTTGTCCGTGTCCCATAAAAGTCTTAAATCGAACTGAAGATTGAAGAGCTAGAATTCTCAAGCATACCTGACCAGCTTTATTCAGTGCCCTCATGGCCTCACTAAGACTGGCATATTTCTTTGCAGCAACAGCACCAAGAATTGCAGCACCCATTAGCACAGACTCACTTTCTCTTGGAAGTATAATAGGGCAACCTGAACCATTCATTAGCAAGTATGTGTTATGTTAATATGGCAGATATGCATAGAGCAACCATCCTAGCCACTTCTACTTATGTTTTTTCTTGTCCAGATAAAGGTTGATTGCACAGAGCTTTTGCAGAGTAGAACTAATAACTGCAACTACCACGACCATTATCAACCTATTGGTACGAGTTGGAAAGCAGACCACAAAGTTTGCTTTGCTCATCTTTTTTTAAAGGACAAAAAAAAATTTTAAAAGAATTCTCAAGCATACCTGACCAGCTTTATTCAGTGCCCTCATGGCCTCACTAAGACTGGCATATTTCTTTGCAGCAACAGCACCAAGAATTGCAGCACCCAGTAGCACAGACTCACTTTCTCTTGGAAGTATAATAGGGCAACCTGAACCATTCATTAGCAAGTATGTGTTATGTTAATATGGCAGATATGCATAGAGCATAACATCCTAGCACTTCTTATTATGTTTTTTCTTGTCCAGATAAAGTTGATTGCAACCAGAGCTTGCAGAGTAGAACTAATACTGCAACTACCGACCATTATCAACCTATTGGTACGAGTATGAGCAGACCACAAAGTTTGCTTTGCTCATCTTTTAAGACAAAAAAATTAAAACATCGCAGAAAAAATAGATTAATCAACCATTCATGCTTAATAAGAAGACTTTCCTAACCAGGTATATTCATAGCAGTTCACCAGCTAGCAAACCATGCAATCTAACCCAATACATTAATGTGGGGAAAATTTAAGAAACAATAGGTACCAAAGTTAAATACACAGAATTGCAGTGAAATTGATTGAATGATAGAAGCAACAATGAAGCGACAGAAGGATCGAAAATCCCTATTCCTAACCAATAGGATCTCTCATTCCCCTCATCCATTGGATTTAAGTGTGTGAAACAGCATGCATGTCATAAGCAGTACAGATGAAAGTTCATGCACACAGGCCGTCCATTTAGAAGAAAATGTATGCAGGGAGATTAAAAAAATTAGTGAGAAAGGATTCAACATGTCTACACACAGCAGGGTGCGAGGGATGGGGAAGGTACAGGGGATGCATAGAAGAATGAAACTCAGGAAAATACCGGTTATATCTGCATGTTCTTGAACAAACACAAGGTTTTTCGAAAGGCCACCACATGCAAGCAATATGTCAATCTGCTGGGATATATAAGAAAATAGAGAAAGCATCGAGTAAACAACACTGGAGAAATAGTCAATATTTTAGAGGCTATGAAAAACTTGAGTTCAATAAAACAAACCTGATAATAGACATATGTAACTGAGAGTATAAACAGTTGTCAGCAAAAAAAAAAATTCCATGACAGATGAAAGTTAAATATAAACATATGAAAGCTGTAATTTAATCAGCTAGTAAGTTGATTACTATTCCCCTGAATTCACATCAGATTTTCTCAAGCCACGTACAAGTTTTTGCGCAAGCTTGACTCTCAAAGAAAAAATAAAAATAAAAATAAAAATAAAAATAGAAGTCATTGCTTAGTCCTTGGTTCTGTCATGCGACATCAAGCTAGACAACTTCATGCAATATAAACATACATTGCTTCTTACCAGAGATTCTGAAGTTATTGCTATACATTATACAGTCAATTCCTTTTTTTTTTTTTTTCTTGTCATGACCTTAAGTCTGTTTGACTGTCATCTTGGTTACCTTCAGGCTCAAATAGCTCCAAAATCATATGGTTAAAGTCAGATTCTAGCTGCATCAAGCCACCTATATACTGATTTCTAATCCTAGTATTTGAAACCAAAAATGGTCCTCCAGATGAATAGTATTGCAGCTGAAAGATTTTCCACATGCCTAATGTCATGATAAAGGGCCTCTAGCAGACTTATTGAAACGCAGTGGGGCCATTTGATAACATCAATCTGGAGTAGTAATATCAGAGTCTATAAATTGTAGGCTCCAGTCCAGTTGAGTAGATACATTGGACACACCAGAATGTGTAGTCACTAAAACCATCTGCCCTGCCAACATTCTTATGAACAACTATAATGTTGAATTATTAGAGATTAGGTTTCGGGAGAAATTCATTCTCCATTTCATGTGCATTTGTGATTTGCATCTAGGTGTCTATATACACATAAACCTACAACTATATAGGAAATTTACAATAAAGGAAATAAATCATATAAGAACATATAAGAATCCTCCTCCATTGACTCAAGACAAGTAGAATTAAAAGACAAATTATCCTATCAGTATCTAGACTACTAAACCCTTCTAAGATGTGAATTGCCACATATTTTGCAATTTGTAAACTAAAACATGTCATGACAAATAAGTAAATGATTAATCAGAGGAATGGTATCTTACTTTGTGACCATGAGCATTGCAATGCTCCACAATGTGGCGTGTACCATATGCAATACCCTGTATGGTGGCAAGGTATAGAAGAGCTAGCTGTCTCTCACTCGTGTCAAGGGTCATACCACAAATAATTCCTTTTGCTTTTGGATCTGCAATGGGAGATCTGTAGCATACGATTTTAACAGGTCATATTTATTACTAGTTGCAATACCTTAGAACCATAAATAGAAAATGTTGCATCATTGTTGCTTACTTACCTGTTCCCGTGAAAGTCAGGAAGGACATGGACATCTTCTGTCAAAGCAGCAAGGAATGGAGTCTTCAGGTCATCCACCATTGTCCTTAATATATTGTTCAGAATTTCAAACAGTGATACATCTGGAAGATAGAGAAAAGGAATGAACTATCAACCATGTAAACAACATGAACATCCGTTAACGTACATACACCACAAACTGTATTTTACTTTGAGAAGCAGCACGATTTGCAAGGCGAGGAGAAGCAACATGGTTTTCAATTATGTAATCTAATAATGCACCGGTAGCACTCTGCCCACCCTCTGTAAGCCAGTACTCAGGAACCATCGCTACAAAAATCAAGAAATAAGGCTTGATATTAAATTTCAGGTACATATTTCAAAGAAAATAAAAGCAGACTCTGGATTAAGCACGAACTAAGTCCAAGTAATAAAGAGAGTTTTTTCTATCAATGCAACGAAAGAACGATCCCTTCCTATTTATTTGTCCTGGCAGATAGAAAGAAAATTAGACCCAAAGAGCCCTTCTCCACCACTTTAGAGGCAGGGGTGAAAGGGGGAGGGTTCACATACAACCCAGGCAAAGTTGTTTATGATAAAATCTGACATTGTTATCATTTGGTGCACGTGTTTGCATGTGCATGCTTTGTGGTGAAAAAACCTTAAAATGTTTAACTTTAGTGTGTTGGTACTAAAAATGGAGACCTGCCATAGAGTCATATAACCCGTACTAATTTTCAGAAATCCAAACATTATTAACAACTAATAAGATTTTCAGATGTTACCTGACCAAAATGGTCCCCAAACCCCAGGAATGAACAGCTTGCTCTGTGATACAGCCATATGACAAGTGGAAGTACCGCAAACTAATGCCATACGGCGACATATTGCTTCCTTGTCATACTCTGAGAAAACATAATTCATGATAAGGAGAACATATTAATTTCAGTTAACTGACTGGATTTATCAGAGGTAAGAAATCTATTTTTTACTTTAAATGCCATCACCTTTAGCGTCAGAATCTGCCTCAAGAGCACTCTCCATGATCCCCACACCACCAGCATGAGCATCAATCAATGAGGTCCCTACAGGAGTTCCTGCTACAAGACCCAGTTCCTGAAAATATAGGCTAATATTCAGAAAAGTGGGAAAACATAGTTTTAAAGTCAATATTAAACAAATTCACCGTCCGAAGCCCAGATAAAGGATGAGTGCTAATAATGCATCTAATCAAATGTGTTTTCTCGGCCAATAGACCTCAAGGGAGCGCCACTTGAAATCAATGTGAATTCTTCAGTACAAAATTTCTTGCCTTCGCAGCTGTAGGAGTCAGACCAGAACCCAAAGCATGGCCAGGGAAAGCTACACTTCGTCCTGTTTACATAATATAATGTCAAGTTACCCGTTAAGTGGGGAGTATTGGTAAATCAAGTCTTACAACAACAAGATGTTGATAATCAACCACAATATGATGTTGCTATTTTTTAAGTTCATTCTTATGTTTCAAATACCATAACATAAAAATTTCATTCATATAGATCAGAAAAGAAAAAAATTGAAATATAGAATATTAAAATGAATCACAGAGCACTCAAATGTGTCGTGACTTCATTTTCATTCCTGTTGATATTTAGGGCTTATTCTGTTGCTGCGGTTCTTAATCATAAGAACCTATAAGTGATACAACTTTTAAATCATAGAGTTCTAAAGTCTATAAATTTCCAAAATACATTACGGACTGTTTAATCCAAAATATGTTATGGATTGTTTATGTATTGAAGGTGAGGGTCAGTGATGTCCTTGTACCAATGGGAGCAAGGGGGCATGGGAGGTGGTTCATCAATGGAAGTGACAGCTGTGGTGGCAACAGTTGTGAGTGCAAATAGTTTACAAGAGGCAATGATGGCAGTTTGCTGTTAGCAAGGAATAATGGTAGTTATAGTGGCGATGGTAGTGTGGTAATAGTGTAAGAATAACAAAGAAAGTCAACATGCAGCTGCTTGTTCTCTGTTTTTCAAATTTTAAATTTAACAGTTACCACAGAACTCCTAAGCATACCAATCTTAGCATGATGCCCATCTACGAGATCACCCAAGCCAATCTCTTCCCAAAAGTCATCATCCCAGCCACAAGCTTCCATGTCGCGAGAATCTTTTTCATTTATCTGGTGCATATGTGCATGGCCAAGATATGTCCATTTGCATACTGTTGTACATAGACTACGAGTATCATCTCCTGTTGCTCTAGGAATCATTGAGGATAAAGAAAAAAGAAAAGAACACTATAGCAATCAGCATAAGCTCATTAAAGGAACAAGTAACTGGTACAGGAGAACAATGTAATGGCATTATAAATGTTTCAAGGAAAGGAATTACCTATATGACAACCAATCACTCAAGTCCATCCATCTGAACACCATTGACCATGACTCTTGCAAATTTTCTTTCACCCATAAGAGCTGCAATATATTATTATCAAATGCAATTAAATAGAGCACGAAGATCACTAAAACTGCCATTTGCTCATCAATCTCATGCTGCAACAAATGGCTGCATTCTTGTTATGCAGTTGGACTTGGGATTCATTCAAACTTAGATTTGATGAAATCATGAATTTTCAAAATGGAAACAGCTCGATGCGAAAGATATATATTAAATTAACACATTATCCCAGGTACCTTCGGCGGCTGCATTTCAGGGGAAAGAGCTCCACCGCAGTATTGCAATACTGGTGAGTTAGAGGAATTGATCTTCTCAGCTTGTTTTACTGCTCTATGATCCATCCAAACTATAATATTTCTTCTTGAATCCCCGCTCCAAGAAACCGAAACAGGAGCTCCATCAGAATCAACAGCAACTTCAAGAAAGGGAAAATCTTATTTCCATTACACAGCCACATTAAGAAACTCCAAATATCAAATACAACATGCAATATAGACGGAAAAAGACTAAAAAAAATTACAGGAATTAGTGTAAATTTCACAAACCAAGAGAACAAGTAGCAGCAAATCCTATGCCGGTAACTTCTTCCCCAGAAACATCAGCAAGGTTACAAGCTGATTTCACAGCTGCACAAATGGCATGCCAAATATCTGTAGATGATTGCTGATATGAAAACACCAAACAATCCAAATCACTATTTTTTTTCAATAACATAAACAGAACTAAAGCGATAGCAAAAATTAACTTTAAAGAAAAATCAAAATCCACAAAAATTATTTGGATTATTTGTTAATTAATTTACCTCAACGCAGTCACGTTCTTTCCATATTTGTATAGGACTACTAGCAGTTCCAAGCAGTTTTCCATTCTCATTAAACAGACCTGCATCAAACAGCCATACTAAGCAACTAAGCAGCAAGCAAATGGACATATCTAAATGACTGTACGAGTTAGGAACTGAAGCTAGAAGAAAGAAATTGAACCAGCGCGGGCGCTGCCGGTGCCTACATCGACGCCGAGGAAGACGGTTCGACGAGGAAAAGTAGCGATGGTAGAGGTGGACATTTCGATAAAGGAAGGTGAGGAAATGGAGCGATTAGAAGGACCATAGAGAGGAAAACTGCGTTGTCGTGGGCCAAGCAGTGGTGTGGTATCGGACGACGATATTCTTTTGCCAGACATGTCGTTTTGTCGAGTTTTTGTCAATAATCAATCTCTTTTTCTGTTCTTGATTGATCGGATGATAATTATGATGATTATTATTCCAAATCTGGATTTGGAACAATATTAAATATCCTCGTCATTTTCGGTTCAAACTGTTCCACTCCAATCCATTCCATCATCTTTTTCATTAAACATTTTATTTTACGTTACAAACAAGATATGAGTTCAATTTATTATTTGATATTTAAGATTTGATGTAATACATTAATTGGTCCCCTAAGTTACATAGACACCTTACCAAGGTTCAATATAACACTACACTCTTCAAGCACTTCCAAATGTACGAGGGACACTTTAAAAATGCGTTTTATTATTTAGTTATTTCGGAAACTTATCCGCATTTTAGAGCATAGTTTTGAAAATTAAATTGAACTGGCCAGTTTGATCGGTTTAATCAAAAATCAGACAGTGGTTCAATTTGGATTACATAAAAAACTGAAAAGCTTAAAAAATCGGCATAAATCCATAAGAAGTGGATGAAAAACGACAAAAGCCAGTGAACTAAACCGGTTAAAAATCGATTCAATTCAAATTTTGAATTTTTTTCTCTAATTATGGGCCTTTTTAAAATTTGGGTCTCTTAAGAGTTAGGCCAGTAATTTTTTAGTTTTGGATTCTCTTCATTTCTAAATCTAAGGTCCTATTATATTAATTAAAATAATTAAAATTTTCAACTTTAAATTCAAATGTGACAAATAATATTATTTTTTATTTTAATTAATTGGTTTTTTATTATTAAATTTAGAAATACTTTATTCTTTTTGTTTAAAATTATTTACTAATTTTTCTATTTTTTTATAAAAGCCAAATTTGAGAATGTTTTTTTATTTGATATTCAAATTTTTTTATCCTATACTTTAATTTTATTTAATAAATATATTTAAAAATATTATATATAAAAATCCGGTTGAACCATATTGAATCTGATTGAATCTTCCGATTCAGTGAACCCATACCTTCACCGGTTCCCTGACCAATCCGGTTCTCATAATACTGCTTTAGAGTCACATTTGAAAATTCTATTAGACTCATTAATGTATAATGTGTTCTATTCTTATTTGATATTACTCGTTGTTTATATTTATTAATTTATTCTTATGTAGTATCAAGTATGATTATAATATTTCTTTCATATTTTCTAGATATTTATATAATGTTAAAACATGATTAATAATATTCATATTATAAGCGAATAATATTTTTCTTAAACTTATTTTAATATGATAGGACAATATTAAAAGTCAAGTATAAATAATTATAGACAATAAAATGAAAAATTTATTATTAATTATAAGATTATATTTCAATTTTTTTGAAATGATAAGGTTAAACTTTAACTAGCATCTATTTCCTTAAATAAAACTAAATAATATGACCCTATGTTATTAAATGTTGATTTGAGTTCATGAAAATTTTAGATCTATCTAACTATAATACATATCAAAGTACGAATGAGGAGGGAACATTAGTTTTCTAAAACGCCATGCTAAGTTTATGAACTGATAAAAATATCATTGCTAATCTTGTTCTGATTATGATATCAAAATATTATTTTTATTATATTAATATTATAAATTTAATCACATTCTAATTAGAATTTTGTCCTATCATACCACTGTATATATGTTTCGTTTTAATAATTGCTTTTGATTATCAAGAATTTATTGCATTTGACTATCAAGAATTGTTACATTAAGTTTTTGGTAATTTGAAATTATTAAGTTTGCAATCATGTATTCTTCCTGCAGTAAGTTTAACATTAACTCTCTCTGTATTTGCAAATTAATAGAATAATTTTTATTTATAGTTCTTTTAATTTATATTTATAGATTAACTGTAATTGTTTAGTAACCGTGAATAATTACAAGCTTACAAACTTTCCCTTATGAGTAGCATTATCATAAAATATCTTAAATAGATGAACCCTCTAATTAAAAAAAAATTATTTATTTATCAATTAAAATTATATAATAAGTTTTAATTATATTGATTATATTAGTTTCCTTAATCATATTATTTTTATTAATTAATAAATCTTGTTTCATTATTTTTGCCTTGCTAAGTCTTGATAAATGGTTCTACAAACTTTTTAGCAACGGAAATTTTATCCGTTTCTAAATTTACAGAATTAATTTTTTTCCTTCGTCCGCTGAGAGTTGGTTCTACGGATTTTAGCAACGGAAGTTTTACCCGTTGCTAAAGTTCTAACCAAAATTCAGGACCTATTTTCACTGCATATCTCTTCTCCCTCTTCTCCGCCACATCTTTCGGTATGCTTGCACTTTCTTTTCTCTTTTCTTACTCCATTTTAATTTATATTTTATTAATAAAAGTTTAAATTTTATTTGGATTGTAAGATTAATATTTGTTAAGATAATTTTTTTATTTTTTATCTTTTTAGTTTCAAGAATTTTAATGGAAGTAAGATATGTATGGAATTTTCAATATTCAAATTATAATACAATAAATCATAATTTTTTTTACATATATAGGAATTCCAAATTATATATATATGTGTGTGTGTGTGTGAGAGAGCGTATGCGCGAATGAGGGGGAATATTGGGTTCCTAAAATGTCTCTACAGACTTTTAATTTTATTGGTTGATTGAAGAATAATTTAATCTTATTCTAATTAGAAAACTCTGAATTTTATTAATTGATTAATTAAAAATATCATTAAAAATAATTTAGTCGTATTTTAATTAGAAAATTTTTGAAATTTCTGTACATATGAAAATACTATAATTTAATATCTTATAATTTTAACTGTAAATTGTTTAAGTAAACCGGAATAATTACAAAGCTTAACAAACTTTCGCCTTACTGAGTCAGCATTATCATAAAAATAACTTAAAAATGAAGATGAACCCTCTAATTAAAAAAAAAAATTAATTTATTTAATCATTAATTATATAATAAGTTTTTAATTATATGATTATATTAGTTTCCTTAAATCAATATTATTTTTATTAATTAAGTAAATCTTGTTTCATTATTATTTGGCCTGGCTAAGTCTTTGAGAAAATGGTTCTACAAAATCTTTTTAGGCAAACCGGAAATTTTATCCGTTTCAAAAAATTTTACAGAAATTAAATTTTTTTTCCTTCGTCCGCTGAGAGTTTGGTTCTACTACGGATTTTAGCAAATGGAAGTTTTAACCCCGTTTGCCTAAAGTTCTAAACCAAAATTCAGCGACCCTATTTTCAACTGCATATCTCTTCTCCCTCTTCTCCGCCACATCTTTCGGTAAGCTGCCACTTTCTTTTCTCTTTTCTTACTCCATTTTTAATTTTAATATTTTTATAATAAAAGTTTAAATTTATGTGGATTGTAAGAATTAATATTTGGTTAAGCATACACTTTTTTATTTTTTTATCTTTTTAGTTTCAAAAGAATTAAATGGAAGTAAGATATGTATGGGAATTTTCCAATATTCACAATTATAATACAATAAATCATAAATTTTTTTTACATATTATAGGACATTCCAAATTATATATAGTATGTGTGGTTGTGTGTGGTGAGAGAGCGTATATGCGGCGAATGAGGGGGAATATGGGTTCCCTAAAATTGTCTCTAACAGACTTTTAATTTTATTGGTTGATTGAAGAAATAATTTTAATCTTATCCTAATTAAGAAAACTCTGAATTTTAACTTAATTGATTAATTAAAAAATATCATTAAAAATACATTTAGTCGTAATTTTAATTAAGAAATTTTGAACATTTCTGTACATATGAAACTATAACATTTAATATCTTATAATTTAAATTATATTATAAAATATTTATAAGATATTAAATTTATTAATCCCTTATTGGTAGCTCTTTTTTTAATTAATATTTACAAATTTAAATCTAATTCTAATCATTCTAATTAGGAATTTGACTTTAATCCCATTCTAATTATGATATCAATTTATTATTTTTATTATATTAATATTATAAATTTAATCTCACTCTAATTAGACATTTGTACTTTAATACTATTATAATTAGGATTTTGTCCTATATACCACATATATATGTTTGGTTTTAATTGCTGTTGAGTTTTCACTGTCAAAAATTTGTTATTCTTGACTATCAAAAATTCGTTATTTTTCACGATCAATAATTATTATATCAAGCTTTGCTAGTTTAAAATTATTGATTTTTCAATTATGCCTTCTTCTTGCGATAAGTATAATTTTAACATTCTCTATTTACAAATTAATGTAATAATTTTTATTTGGTGGTATCGTCTATGATATAAGAAGACAGCTGGTGACGAAGGCTATTTTATCATCATGAACAATTTATATTTTTAAAATTAAAATTTTCAATTGTCAACATTTATATTTTTTTAAACATTAAATTTTCAATTGTTCCTCATCCCACACATACTAACATGTCATTTTATTTAAAAAAAAAAATTTAAAATTAATTGAAACAGAATTAATTGCATATATTCTATTTAAAATTTATTATTAAAAATATATCCAATCAATTTAAAATAAGAAAATATTAAAAATTATGACAAAAATATACAAAATTTTGATTTTTTAAAAATATCATCCAATCAAAATAATAAAAAATAAAATTATTAAAAATATACCTTTTTTAATCCCTCCTTAAATAAAATATTTTGAATTATAATAAAGCAACAATTAAAAATATTTAAATAATAATTAAAAAATAAAAATATAAAAATTTTAGATGTTTCATTAGCGCGTATATATATATATTAAAAAATAAAAAACTTAAAATTTTTGAAATGTTTATCTATATTTATTTATTTAAAAAAATAATTTTAATAATTAAATATTTAAAATCAATTAATAAATATAATATTTTTTAAACTGGTCATAGACTAAAAGTTATTTGAAGATATTTAAATGACATTAAGGCATCTATTAGAAATTTCATTATTTTCATATTAATCGTTGAATATATTATTTTTTATTTGTAGGATATGTCCTATGAAATACTAACAAAGAAAAGTGATAGTCCTGGTGACGAAAATACTTTATCATCAATGAAACAATTATATTTAATTTAAAATTTTCAATTGTTCCTATCATTTCACCACACATATGATTCATTTTATTTTAAAAATAAAATTTAAAATTGTACAAGAATTAAATTGCCGTATAAATCCTATTTAAAATTTTATTATATAAAAAAAAATATATCCAAAAATCAAATTATAAAACATAAATTAAATAATAAAATTATGAGAAATATAAAAAAACATTTTTAATTTTTTTTAATTAACATAATTCCAATCAAATTAAAAAATAAAACTAAAAAAATTATTGAAAAAATATTTACACTCTTCTTAGTCTTGAGTCTCACCCTATAATAATAATATTGTGTTGATATTATAATATAACGAGGCTAAATCTACAAATATGTTTAAAATTTAGATAATATACATAAGAACAAATAGTAAAATTATCATAAGCTAATATTATAGCTCACCAGTACGTAGTTACAATCTGAAGTTAGCAGAAGCGTATATTTATTTATTTAGTCCAAATTTGTGAAAAATTATATAAAGAGACAATAAAACTCATAAAATTTTTGAAATGTTTTTTTCATCAATTACTCTTATTTTAATCTTATACTCGTTAAATAATTATTTATTTTAAAGTATCTTCTAAACTCTCTTAATGGATTTAATATACAACTGATAATACAATAGAAAAATCCAATTTCTAACCACAAGCGCTGGCTCATACGAGAGAATCAAGGATTGGATAATTGAAGATATTTTAAATGACATTAAAGGCACTATTAGAAAATTTTCATTATTATTCATATTGATAAAAGAAATAATTTTTATTTGGTAGGTATCGTCTATAGATATATAGAAAGAACAGAGACTGGTGGACAGGAAGGCTATTTTATCATCAATAAGAACAAAATTGTATATTTTAAAATTAAAATTTTCAATTTGTTTCTAACATCCCACACATAAATTATTGACGTTCATTTTATGTTTAAAAAATAAAAATTTTTAAAATTTGGAAAGAATTAATATGCGTATTATGCTTTTAAAATTTTATTTCTATAAAAAATATATCCAAATCAAATTATAAAAAAATAATAAAAAATTTGAAAAATATAAAATTATTACATTATTTTTTAAAAAAAATATAATCCATCAATTACATAAATAATAAAATAAAAAATTATTAAAAATAATACTTTCCTTACCCCTCTTAAATAAATATTTTTGAAATTATACATAAAAAGCAAAATTAAAAATATTTAAATAAATAACATTAAGAGAAGAGAATAACAATATAAAAATCAATTTAGATGAATCTCATTAGCCGCCGTATATACAATATTAAAAAATAAATAATAAAAAATAAAACTTAAAATTTATTGTAAATGTTTATCCTATATTTTTATTTATTTAAAAAAATAATTTTTACTATAAAATTATAATTTAAATCAATTAATAAAATAATTTTAATAAATTATATTTAATCAATTAATAAAATATAATTTTTTAACTGGTCATGACTAAGGTTATTTGAAGATATTTAAATGACATTAAAGGCACTATTAGAAATTTCATTATTTTCATATTTCTTCATTTATATGTAGTTTAAATTATGGATTATAATTAAGAATTAATAATTATTATAGATTAGTTAAAGAAAAAAAATCCTATATCATATGTCATCTCATCTAATTATTCTTTAAATATTTTATAAGAACATAATAAAAATATAAAAAATTTTGAACTCCAACCGAGGGCCGAACTAAAGAAAATAAATTTTGGAGAAATTAGAAGATATTTTAAAAAAATTTAAGAGATAAAGTGTAATTTTATTTTTTTAAATTACAATTTCAAACTACTAACTACAACTATAAATAAATCAAGTCGAATTAAGTATTACAATATTTGAAAACAAAATATCACATTGATTTGATAAAAAGTATCGAGCTCGAGCCAAGTTTAAGTTTCATATCAAGTTTAAAATCTTCTTCAAATTTGATTTATTCAATTTTCAAGTGAGCTCAAATTTATTCATGACTTTATTCAACTAATTAAAATTATAAAATTTAAATAAAATTTTCATATAGTAATAACATTTTATTTCAATATTACATATTGATTGCGATTGTATACACAAATCAATTTTTTATCTTTGATTAACTTGTATTTCATAAAAAAATTTATGATAAAAATATAATTATATTTTTGGTAAAAAATAATTATTTTTATAATATTATTATATTAGTTATTTTTGTTTCAAGTTGTATATGAGTTATCAACTCGAGTTTATTCATTAAAAGCGGTCAAATTTGAATTTATGTTTCAGTTTGACTTGTTCTGTTCTTTTTTTTTTTTTTTTTTTTTTTTTTTGTTGTTCTGTTCTTTTTTTTTTTTTTTTTTTTTTTTTTGAGAAACATAAAGGAAATGCGTTTTTTATTTTCATCCAAAACGCAAGCTTGGACGGATGGGTGGGACAGACCCACTCCCGCACGTCTGCCTGTGAATGCTTCCCGTGCTAATAGGTAAAACCAACACCATTTGCCCGTGCATTTGAGTAACGTTTAATGAGTACAGTGTTTATATCAATGTTTAAAATTTTTAAACTTGAACCGGCGGAATTTACTTCTTTTAACTCATAAAATTTTAACCTTTTTTTTTTTTTTTTTTTTTTTTTTTGAAACTAAAGGAAATGGTTTTATTCATCCAAACGCAAAGCTTGGACAGATGGGTGGACAGACCACTCCCCACGTCTGCCTGTGAATGCTTCCCGTGCTAATAGGTAAACCACACCATTTGCCCGTGCAGATAACGTTTAATAGTACAGTGTTTATATCAATGTTTAAATTTTAAAACTTGACCGGGCGGATTACTTCTTTTTACTATAAAATTAACCATCTTAAAGACTCCGAAAATATAACTTATCTGACGAAAATATTTTATAAGGTTAAAAATATTTTTTAAATGATTTATTTTTAGTTGTTTGATTGCAATATTAAAAATTAATTAAAAATATTAAAATTTTTAATAATAATAATATAAAATTCATATTTTAAACATTTTATTATTAAATATGAGAATAATGAAAAAAGGTAAATTATGAAAATCGCCTATAATAAGTGGCATTGGTCGACAATGATGAGTAGCGGCTGCCGATGGTGGTGTCTGTTGGTGAAGAATGAGTATTGATAATGATGATAGTAACTACTTATAATTAATAAATTTAAAAAATATAAATTTATAAGATTATAATAAATTTATTAAAATTTGAAAAATATTTTAACTCTTGAATAATGCTACAAATAATAAAAAATTAAAAATTATGAAAAATATTTTATGCGGTTTAAGAGAGTATAAAAGAGCTAATTTTGCCTCATCTCATCTTATTTTCTCTTATTATATCAACTACACGTCCTACTACTACCAACCTAATACTTTTTCAATTTATAAAACAACCTAAAATTAGGTGAGAAAATTATTCACAAAAATTATTTTCCTTCCAACCAAAATCAATAAATAAAGGCCAGCGCTACCCCCGCTTTCAAATTTCGTACTCACCCGTTAAACCGTTACATCACTGTGTTACTCTTCGCTACTTCTTCTCCGTTATCATGATGCTCCTTCTCTCTTCTCTCCGCCGCTCTCACCGCCGCTTACTCCATCTTCACCGTCAATCTCACAACCTATTTTCAGCTTCTACTTCACCACCACTACAATTTCCACTAAACCACCCAATCTATATGATCTGGGGCTCCAATACCTCCCTTGGCAAAACTCTTGTCTCCACTGGCCTTGCCTCTTCCTTCCTCCTCTCTCCACCACCCGCCACTAACACCACCAACACAACTAAACGGCGTAAATTTCTCTATCTCAAACCCGTTCAAACTGGTTTTCCCTCTGACTCTGATTCCCATTTTGTATTTTCAAAACTTTCCTCTCTCGCTTCCCGCTATAATCCACCTTTCTCTCTTCTCGCCTCCAATTCCGTCCTCAAATCCTCTCTCTCTGCCGCTAAATCCTTTGGCGGATGTTTTGAGACCAATGAATTTAAATATGGAATGTACAATTTGAACTTCAATGAGAAGAAAAAGGTTTTAAGGGATGAGGCTGGTGTTTCGGAGTTAATTTGCGAGACATTGTATGCATGGAAGGAGGCAGTTTCTCCACATTTGGCAGCAGAGAGAGAGAATGGAGTTGTGGAGGATTCTGCGGTGATGGAGATGTTGGAGCAGTGTTTGAGTAATGAATTAAAATTTGAGGGTGAAAATGAGACGATGGATGCTTTTTGTGTGGTTGAGACTGCAGGAGGGGTTGCCAGTCCCGGTCCTTCAGGAACCTTACAGTGTGATTTGTATCGGTACGTGACCATCCTTCTTTCCCCTTTTCCTCTTCCGATATGTCTTTCCAAGTGAAGTGCTCAGCTTACAAGTTGGCGGCCCAATTGTGAAGATTTTCTTCATGTTGGTTCCTGTTTCTACTCTAGTGACTCAAATAATCTCATTACTTTTTGACTCAAATAATCTCATTACTTTTCAACTTGAATTTTGAAGACCTCACTTTTGCTCTTCTAAAAGAACAAATTTTTTTCTCCGACTACATGCTTCAGTTTCTTTTTTCTCCTTGTTTTGTCATTTATCTGACCCCTGCTACGTAGTGGCGGTGAAGAAGATTTTTGACGTAAATTTTGTGCATTTTGGGTTAGCATATAGCGTTGTACGTACAGAATGCATTGGAGGAAAATAAGATATGTAGCCTACATCCTTAGATAATTTCAGAGATAAGGCTTTATTGAGTTAGTACTCGCATTTTGTGGCGAATGATTTGTGACAGTTCACACCTGCAAACTCATTTGGGTAACTAAGAAGCAAAACTTCTTGTTTCAAAATCTTGTTTAAGGAGACTCAGAGATGGCTGTAACTATGCCCCAGTGGAAAATTTGCGGCAGTAATAATGTCAAAAGCGGGTATAGAGTCAGAGAACAAACATATTGCCATTCTTTCTTTTATTCATTGCTTTATCAAACATGTTTGCAGGCCCTTCCGCTTCCCTGGCGTTCTTGTGGGAGATGGGCGTCTTGGTGGTATTTCTGGAACCATTTCTGCGTATGAAAGTTTAAAGCTTCGAGGTTATGACATTGTTGCTGTAGTTTTTGAAGATCATGGCCTGGTTAATGAAGTGCCATTACTTTCATATTTGCAAAACAGGTATTTTTTATAATTTCTCTTCTCGTGATGTGGATAATTTTGTCTTGTTATGGATTTAATGAATCTCTCTTTCTGCGCATCCAACGTTTTATGGGTTTGGCATTTGTTACTTTTCTTGTAATAAAAAGATACTACTTTTATGCATTAAAAGTTCTATTATTTATTTTCTCTTTCATGTTTTCTAGGGTGCCTGTAGTTTTGCTGCCACCTGTTCCACAAGATATGTCAAATGACCTGGTAGAATGGTTTGGTTCTTCTAGCGAACCATTCAATTCTCTACAGGGAATATTGCTATCAGCTTTTTCAGAAAGATTACGGAGATTGAAAGAAATGCCTAAGAAGGCAACAGATGTTTTTTGGTGGCCATTTACTCAGCACAAGCTTGTACCAGAAGAAACTGTTACTGTCATTGATTCAAGGTGTGGGGAGAACTTTGCAGTCTACAAGGTTAGTGTAGACATATTCTCTAGGCTTGCTCTACACAGTCCAACTTATTATTTGCTCTAGGTTTATGGATATATTCTCTATGCTTTATTATTATGGTTGTTGTTGTTATTGTTGAACTATTGACTGGGGATTTCTAATGTGAAGCAGGTGTTTCTAAAACATTGCTAGCTAATTTTGTTTTCCCTTGATATCACAGGCCCAAAACAAAGATTTCATAACTGAACAATTTGATGCATGTGCAAGTTGGTGGACCCAAGGACCAAATGCTACTCTACAGGTCCTCTTTATTACAAGTGAACATATCTATTTCTCTGTTTGATGTTTATGGTGAATTAATGACCCAGTTTAGATGCTATTTTCTGGAATTTTAAGTAGCTGTGTGCTTTGTTGTCTGGTTTTGCTATCCGCTTTTACTTTACCTGTGGTTTTTTGATGTGTTGTCGCATGCCATTCCTTCGATAATTTGTTGATTCAACTGTCCATATGACATCATGAGTAAGATGGATGTAGAATTCAATTCAGTATGCTAAATAGGAAGAGCGCTCATAGAGTGACATCTTGTCTACATTACTTGAAACTTAATATTGTTTTATTACTAGTTAATACTAAGGAGCAGAACTTTGTAGAATTGGCTAATCATATAAATGGAGAAAAGGTTGTACTGTTTAAGAAAATTTCATGAAAAATGAGGCAAATGTTGGCATCGACTGAGTATATCTGCAAGGAGCATATCCTTGATGGCTAAAGAATTGTGATGCCCTTTATCTTTGGCATGATCCTCATCTTTCTCCACCTCTATCCTCTTTGTCCGTAACACAATGTTAACTTTATTTGTATTAGTGGTCACATCTGAAGTTCTTTAATGTGGTTATTTGTTTAGGTGGCTTCAGATTGAGCTTGCAAGAGATATGGGTTATGCTGCTGGAAGATTTGGTCATGTCATGTTTCCTGAGAATGTTTATGAGCCAGCCTTAAAATGTGCAGAGCTTTTGCTTGAGGGTGTGGGCAAAGGTAAGTAGTGTTTTGCCAGACACTTAGGTTTTTTTTATCTCAGTTCTAATGCTTTGTTTAGGAAAGGGAGGAAGGTAAATAAGGGAGGAAAATAAGAAACGATTGCACTACTCATTTTCCTTCCTTATTTTCCACCCTATGTTTGGATTGGAAGGAAAATAAATGGAAGGAAAGAAATTAAATATTTTGTTTGTTTAAAAAAAGAAAATGGTATCATTATAAATTTACATTTTTCCCCTTTATATATCTATAGTAATAAAAGTGTTTTCTGCCTTAGGTACACTTAGGTTTTTTTAATCTCAGTTTCTAATGCTTTTGTTTAGTGAAAGGGAGGAAGGTAAAGATAAGCGGAGAAAATAAGAAACAAGACTTGCAGCGATACTCATATTCCTTCCATATTTTCTCGCACCCTATGTTGGAATTGGAACGGAAATATGGATAGGAAAGCAAATGTAAATATGTTTGTTTTGTTTTAAAAAAGAAAAATGGTTATCTATTACTAAATTCTGACATTTTTACCCACTATTTATAGGTATCGTATATATTACTCAAATATAGATATATAAGTATATACTTAATATGATCTTAACACAATTGTAGCACATGGTTTTAAGCCAATTAAATTATAATTGTTAAATTATCAGTGTTGATTAATTAGTACCATGTATATTAAACATTGTAGCACATTTTGCAATTAAATTATAATTGGTTAATTATTTGATTAATTATAATGAATTAAAGAATAATAAATAAAATCATTAGCATTGCAAAGTGAGCATGCATCATATGTTTCATGAGTAATTTTTTTTTTCAAGTTTAAGGTCTCACGATTATTAATTATTTATAGATTGATGTGTTCAATTTTTTAAGATTTAATTTCCAAGTATTTGTTAATTTTTCCCCCATAACATATATATGCAAGTGGTTAGTTAAGAGAAAATTCCAAAGCTGCTTACTAAACTGTGTGCAAGAAAGTGGCATATAAATTCATAAATGTCGCAAGCTCACCTAAACAGGAGGCTAAGCCATGATGAAGCTGACAAGTGCTAACATATACACATAAGGCAATATTGTAATTTGCTCGTGAACAATGGTTTTTTACCCTGTGAATGTCAAATTCTCTCCAAAATGGAGAGAAAGTAATTTTGTGGGGCCCAGGGAAAATAACCATATTTTCCTTCCTCCACACTTTTCCACCTGCTTTCCAAACAAAGAATTCTTATTTTCCTTCCAAATTTACCTCTTAATTTTCTTTCCTCCCTAAAAATCATCCCATCCAAACAGGCTGTAAGGGATGATATTATTGGAATGTATTTTCTCCTTATTACATTCTGCTTAGTTAGCAATATCCATATTCCACAAGATGAAAACAGTTTTGACATTTGGTTTAATCTGTGAAGTTGGACTCTTTTGGTTCTCCTTTTATGTTGCTGGTTTTTATGAATATGACTTTGCATGTATCATTCTTTCATAAATTGTAAGTTGGACTGCATTTTGTTATCTATTTCTGGTTTGGTTAGATGGAATTATTATAATATATTATCTTCTTTTTGTAGGCTGGGCTTCTAGGACATATTTTTCAGACAATGGATCAACAGCCATTGAAATTGCTCTGAAGATGGCATTCCGTAAATTTTCTATTGATAATGGAATCTTTCTAGATTGTGCGAAGAGTAATTTAGCTGACAGACAGATAGAGCTAAGGGTTCGCCTCGATAATCCTTTTTATCTTTGACCTTATACTTCTTTTATGTTCTCTGCTAAATGCTATAAATTTTGGTTTCATGAAGAAAAAGCGTATGATGTTATAAATTCATGCAAATAAAATAGGTTACTTGGTTTTTCTTTCAAGTCAGCGCTCAATGCGATGGTTATCAACTTATCATGGTTTAAACTTCAAAATAGTTCCCAATCCAAACTCTCTTAGAGGTGTCAGTGGTCAATTATCATGTAGGTCTCTAAAACTTTGGCTTTACCAGACGCACCTTTAAAGTAAAATTTGCTCACATCTGCATAGTTGTCAATGTTCAGAATCTTATGGCCAGTGATTGGACTTGGCCAATAAATTGAAAGATATTAGACCTCTAATTAAAATAATGAAAAAAGATTCTAACAAGTGGAATATTGGAAGCATTGGAAAATTGAAGGAGGGGCACGTTCCCTTCTCTTTGTAGAAGGAGAAGGTCCCCCTCGTTCATTTAAGTTTGTGATGGTTGATTGCCTTCAAGTGAGTCCCAATGCTGGGCTTCCTAAGTAAATTTTTGGATTTTAATAAATAACTCAAGTAATTCTCTCTTTTTTCTTCTTTGTTTTTATTGCATGAGCCTGTGTTGCATTGTTTCTTCGAAATTGTCCCAACTACACTGTCCCTTTGGCGTCAGCTCTTCGAATTGCCTTCAAAATTCTGGGGTTAAATGGAATGTGGATTTTTAGAAATTGGGACTGGGCTGGTTCCTTAATTTTGGGTCCCTGAATTTTTGTTTTGGGATGGGGATTTTTCAATCCCCAGCCTCACCCGAACTATTCACACCCCAAGTGCCTATGGTGATGACATGCAAACCAGAAGGTGAATTGGACTTCTGCAAATTTTTGTAAGTTTGCCCCTGAGGTTTGGCCAAATGTACTAGTGCATCCCTCATTTTTCAAAAATGTACAATTAAGTGATAGGAAATACACTAAATACCCTTATCTACAGTAGTGAGCCGGCATAATAAAAGAGAAGGAAAATGAAGAAATAAAAAAAAAAAAAAAAACGAGAAGGAAAAATGAAGAAATAAAAAAAAAACAAAAAAAACGCAAACGCAAAAAAACAACAAAAGGAAAAGAAGAAGAAGAAAGAAGAAAGAGGTTCTGTTGGTGATCACCTAGAATTCTTACCAAAGTCAGAAAAAAAAAAAAAAAAAACGCAAAGCAAAAACAACAAAAAGAAAAGAAGAAGAAGAAGAAGAAAGAGTTCTTGTTGGTGATCACCTAGAATTCTTACCAGTAGAAACTAAGAATGGTGGCAGAAAATAGAAACAAAGATAGAAAAAAAAGGAAACATTAACGTTCTGACAGGTATGGAAAAGGTAGATCGATTACTGAATTACCTCCCTCTGCCATTAAGTTTGCTTGGAGCTTGCTGGGAAAGGAGTTGGCGCAGGAAGTTTCTTGCTTTTGATTCAACAAAATGATAGTGAGTTAACATGCTGTGATGGTGATAAGAAACTTGATGAGGTAAGGCACATGTAGGAGATAGGTGCCATGTTTTTGACACTATTTACTGCGGCAACAGGTGGTAGATGGAGGAGGCAGAAGCTCGAAAATGCTTCCCTTTGTGCTATTGAACCATTTTTTAGGATGAATTTGATTAAGTTTGTACTATTTGAAATTTAAGTTAATTAATGTGTTGCTGGTAATTAAAGTGGTTTCATATATGTTTTCTGTCTTGTGTTCTTGAATTCCCCTTTCAATGTTAGAGAAGATTTTGGATTAAAGAATAGAAATTGTGTTTCTTAAAATGCCATTTCTCTGGATTGGAGATTCTTTTTTTTGGTTGATGGAGGTTATTTTTGGAATTTTAAGTTAATTTAAGCCTTCTTTGACCTTTTTCGTTTTTGACAAACAAAAGTTTTACTAAGTCCTGGCAGAAGGATTTAATAGTTCACAATAACAACTTTTGATTTAGTAGTTTACCCTTAGTACAACTTTGGTTAATTGTATATTTGAAAAAAAAAAAAAAACGGAGGATGACTAGTGTATTAGGCTAAACTTCAGAGGAAAATAGCCATTTGCCCTTTACTATTCTAAAGAGGATTTCCAATTGTATTGGATTATTGAAAAAATTAAATTAGAACCAAACAAGAAAAAAATAAGAAAAGAATAAATGTATCAGAATCAGATTGTTAAAAAAGTAGAGGAAATTATTTCTTAAATTCCTATTTGGTTTTAGACATTTAGTGCTGTCCTAGTTAGCGGAAGAATCATTGAGCTAATTCGTAGGATCATGACACAATGTCAAGGGCATTGTTAGGGATGCTACAATTGTTGCCAATGTTAAAATTCATGGTCACCATTGGTAATTTTGGAAGGCGTGGCACAAATGGAAAAGAGCATGTAGTTTTGAATGTTTTTTTGGATATTAGCCCCTGATTTTAAAATAGGTAGTGTTGGAATTTTTGTTCATTGATTCACAATTTTTTATAATATCCTAGGTTTTTCATGAGGTGGAATTCTTTCAAGTGACTATAATAGTCTTATAATCATAGTGCATTATATTTCCACAGTCTAGTTAACAAGTTGCCATCTTTGCTAATATTTGTTTTTGTAGTTTAAAGATAGGCTTTGACCTTAAACTTAGCTGCTTATATCTATGCTGTTTTTTTTTTTTTTTTCATTTCAAATATCTTGTTATCTTTTTTATTTTTTGGTTTTCCAGCTAAATATTTTGTCATTATCAAAAAGCTTGATGTAAGGATGTCATTAACCTAGGGAGTAGTTGTGAAGTATAGTTGATTTGTCTAGAGTCTAGTCTAGACAGAGGGCAATACTCATGCTACACTCGGTCTAGGTTGGTCAAGTTGCTTGAGTGTTGCACTTATTATTATGATTAAGGTGCACTAATTTACTGAGGTGTGATTTAATTTTAGGTTCTTGCTCTTAAAGGATCTTATCATGGTGATACTCTGGGAGCAATGGAAGCACAAGCGCCATCATCCTATACAGGCTTCCTCCAGCAACCATGGTATCTGTTATTTATTTATTTCAGGCTATCATGCCTTCTTTTAGAACTTTTGAGTTTGATGGGGTGCTTGTTGTAGTTGGTTTCTCCTTTCATTTCCTAAAAATTGGTTCTGTAAGACAAAATAAGTCACTTGAGGACTTGGAATCTACTAGGTAAAGACTGTTTTGTACAAGTTAGTCATTTATAAATAATTGAATCAATCTCTAGCAAGTTATCAGTGGTTGGTTTTGCATTATTCGTTTTCTATTTGACTTGGGTTAGCTAGTTGTGTTCCATTTGAGAGTGACTCAGTTAATATTACCTGAAATGTGGTTAATAGGGCAGACAGGGGTCAGGAAAGAGGGAAGATATAATAAATGGAATAAGTTCCTTTTGATTGCTGAATCCAGATGTGAGTCACTTTGAATATGGAACACTATCCTGTATATGCATACGCTTAGCAACTGTATGTTAAATGTATGGAGCATGTGCATCCTAGTACTGAGCTTGAGTTGTCTGATGTACAGTCACATGGTTTAAAATGTGGCTACTATGTAATGTCAAACAAGTTACATATTGGTTATTAAGTTACCATGTTTCAAGGCATTGCATTACTCATCTTTTTTAAGGCATTACCAGTCATTACAGTAATTACCCTTTGATCACTTATTCTCTGCTGTAACATTGCTTCTAAAATCACCAAGTTGATGGCTTAAATATCAGACAATATCTGCTACACTTTTATCCACCTTATCTGCTGCATTTCTTCAAGATTTTTTTTTTAAAAATAAAACAATAGCTCATCACTATTGCACTGTTTCTGTAATTGCATTATTAAGTTCTGTTATCTTCTGAGATTCACTGAATTCTAAATGTTAAAGTAATATTATTTGGCAATACTTTAGCAAAATTTAAAGTAAAAATAGTGTGTATTCTCAATAAAACTTTTATTCTTTTATAGCATTGGCATTTTTTAATTGCTTTTAATCTGAACAAAGCGGTTATTGGATACAAGGGATTCATATAGCTGAACCCAACTATTTTGGGACTAAGGCTTAGTTGTTGTTGTCGTTAAACATTGGCATTTGAGCATTTTTGCAAGGTTCCAACCAATTTGTGTGATGGGCAGAACTCTTGTTAAAACATCCACAATGGTCATGATTGCTGGGTGATGTCTTTAGTGGTCCATTTCTGCAGGCACTATGATTGCATGTTGCAATCATGTGCAGCCTCATAAAACGAAACTTAAAATTCCTTTCATCCTGATCCAGATAGTGTTGAAAGCTGAAAACGCTCTGATTCTGTTAAAAGGGGTGATTGAAGTAAAGATAGCTTTTAATGAATAGGGTGATCAGTTGGGTTGTGGCACTGCATTGACCTCTGGAAAAACTCATCATAGGAAGAAAATACTTAAGAGGTAGTACAGATAATGTATCAGTTAGTGATGAGCTGGATACTTAGGTCATCGGTGTTATGATGTATGCAGTGGTCATTAGCTCCTGTAGTGAGGGAGAGAATGAGGCTGGAGTGCAATTTTGTATTGTGAGGAGATCTCTTTGCAGTTTTAAGAGGTTCCCAGGGAAGTAATTAATAGAAGATTTCATGTTGTCATGCAACTAGATACATAAGCATTCATATACAGAATGTACCTTATTAATGAAAAGAAGGAAAACTCATCATTTGTTGGAAATTTACTGGTTTTAAGTGACAAAAATACCAACGGTCATTAGAATATGAGGGGGATGGATTGTAGGAATTGACAAACCATCCAGACAGCTTAGAAGTTTTCAGACCATGCAAACAGCATAGAAGTTTGAGATCATGCTTACATAAGGTCCATATAGAAATTTTGGCTTTGAACTTTAAATTCTCTAGTTTTGGGCTTATTGCTTCTTCTCTTTAGCATTTATGTGGTACAGCATATTGTCGTAGTTGTTTCAAGGTGATGGCTCAAAATAGTCTGAATACCGATTTTCCTTGGTTTTCATACTTCATGACTTTATTTAATCTCATTTGACACCTGAAGACTGCCATACAGAAAGTTCTTTAGGCATCAATGCACATATCAGTTGTGTACATTTATCTATATTATTCAGGAAAAATAATGAAGAGAAGCCATTAGTGGTTGAATGTGATTATTCATTTACTATTTGTACTTTTTCAGGTATACTGGAAGAGGTCTTTTTTTGGATCCTCCTACAGTCTTCATGTGTAACAGCAAGTGGAATCTTTCCTTACCTGATTGGCTGCATTATGAGAATGTTACTAACAATGACATGGGTTAGTAAACATGAAGCTTTTTATTTTCATTATTTGTGCCTACCATTATTCCCTCTTAAACATTTTGGTGGTTTCTCCTAACATTTTCTGATTTTTACAGTGTTCAGCTCTCGTGATGAAATTTTTGAAAAGATCAGGGACAAATCAGATCTCTATCGAATTTATTCATCATATATAACACATCAACTATCACAATACCCAGGAGCGGAAGGAACTGTCCATATTGGAGCATTAATTATAGAACCAGGCAAGAAAATTTATTTGTACATTTCCTGTTGTTTCTATTAATGTTGAGTTTATTTCCTTAGAAAACCCATAATTGGGATTAACCTATTATGAGTATTTTATATAAGTTCAATGACTCATTGTGAAATATATGACATGATTCAATGGATATGCAATTGCCTTTGTTTTATCATCCCTGTAGATACACTTGCAACATATGATGCATTTGGAATGAATTTTCAAGCCATTGTGTCCTTAACGGTATGATTATTGTTAGTTCCATCTTTGTTTTGAGATGTCTTGCCTTGTATTTCAATTTCAAATGATGGTTTCTTGGTCATTAGGGAATTCTTATTTGGAAAGTAGCATTAGGCAATCTGAAGAAAGTGCAAACAATTCTATGTTTCAGACTCATGGAGTCATCAATAACTTTTTTATATTTGGACCTAATCCATATCAAGTGCGACTCTTATGTAGCTTCTCTGACGTGAATTAATATTGGTATCATTGAAGGCAATAACTGCATTTTCTAGAAATCCTTCCAAGTACATCTGATATGTTAACAAAATTTCTGGACATTTAGAATAGTTCCAATAATGTTCAGCCACGGTCTTTTCAACTTTTCTATGCCCCCTTTCTTTCTGGCCAAAAGAATTTCCCCCATTTGGACCCATGAATAGCTGGTCTGCATTTTTCTCCCTCATAATGCTGCATGGTCAGTGTTAGTTGCTGTACAGTGGACTCCATGTCCTCAGTGTGTTCAAATCCTCTGTTTAATTCTCTGAAAGTGGGACTTTTCTGTAGTTATACAAGGTGCTGGAGGAATGCTTATGATTGATCCACTTTTCCAACGGGCACTTGTAAATGAGTGTCGAAGAAGAAACATTCCAATTATTTTTGATGAAGTTTTTACGGGATTCTGGCGTCTTGGAGCAGAGGTTGGTTGCCCCTTATTGAATCTTATTCAAGCTCGTTGATTTTGTTTTCTTTTTCCCTCTGCACTGTCTTTAACTAACTTAAAGAAAGTTTGTAATCAATTAGACTGCTTTTGAGCTTTTGGAAGTTTGTCCCTCTTTTGACAGAGTGCAGCAAAACTACTTGGTTGCATACCAGACATAGCCTGCTATGCAAAGCTGATGACTGGAGGGCTTATACCCTTGGCTGCCACCTTGGCTACAGAAGAAGTTTTCAATTCATTTATTGGGGATTCAAAGGTAGCATATTGTAGTGTGTTTCTTTGAAGCCAAAAATTTTGCTTTGAAAATTGACCTAATGAATGGTCCTCATTGACTACTGGCATACATGTCTTTTTACTGCACTTTTTTCACAATATGAATAAAGAGGTCCCGGAGGCTGCTTCATGTCAGTAAATTTGATGGGGCTGGTTCATAAGCATCAACTGTGAGCTTCTCAAAGCAATATTTTCTTGATGTCATGGATGCAGTTTGACTGAGTTCACTTCAAATTGTTTGCCGAAGTATAACTATATTAACAAGATTTTTGTTGTTCTTTTTCGTATGGGTCAAATGGTTCTGATGCTTGATATATTTTGATGTCTTCTGGTTCTAATTTTGGCTTGGTTTATAAAATATTGGAACTCAACTCATCAAATCATAGCTTAAGCCAAGTGGCTGGTGTAATGAGTCGACCCAAGTTTGAGTGCTTAGTATTTTAGTGTGGCTTGTGAGTCTAATAGAGTGCTACAGTTTTTATACAATTATAAGTATATTTGAATATTATATATAAAATTTAATAATTTATTGAGTTGAGTTGGAATTCAAGCTCATTAGAATATATTCCAAATTAACTTGACTAACCAATTCTTGATTTTGATTGAGTTGAGCTTGAGTATTTCAAGTATTCCATTGAGTCTAATTTGAGGGAGAAAAATAAAACTTGATCAAGCTCGAGTTGAGTTTCGAGTCTCAAGTTTTCCAATTGACTTGACCTCAAGTACGGCACTGTAATGACTTGGCTTAGTCATACCTGTTGCTTTGGGAGGATTATCAACTTAAGTCAATCTTAAGTTTAAGCCATTAGAGTTTTGATGATTTATGTTTGCTACGTGCTTATTGATTTAAAAATGAGCATTTGATATTTTTTTATTTTTTATTTTTTAAAACACCAAATCAAACCTCTGATTTTATTGTCTTGCAAGTAACATTTTTGAGGTAAACTAGTATTCTGGATTATCTAGACGGCATAAATAAAGCACTTAAATCTATTTGATTGCGGTTGTAGCTCAAGGCCCTTTTGCATGGACACTCATACACTGCTCATGCTATGGGGTGCTCGGCAGCTGTTAAATCCATCAAATGGTTCAAGGATCCCAGGACAAACCTCAATGTCATTGCAGAACAAAGGTTGCTTAGGGAGGTATGTGGAAATTAAGTTTTCTTTTCTTTGTTTGCTACATGTGACCATCCATAAGCTTATCTATGCTGATGGTGATGTTTGAGACCGATAGTTTGCATAGTCTGGACCACTTAATAGCATAGATCTATCAATGATATTTCCTTGTCTGCACTTTAGTAATGCTGATTTTCACAGTAACTGAGTGGGACCACATGCTTTATCTCAAACTCAAATGGGAGAAGGGGGACAGACCAAAAGCAAAAGCAGAACAGTGTAATGTGTGGTACTGCCGAGTGAGCGTGTTGTTTGAAATAAGATAATGATTCAATATCTTAATAGTCATGGTTGAGGCCAAAACTTCTGCTAATAATTTGAGATAACTGCTGCTTCTCTTAACACAAGCAGTTCGTATCAAAATACAATTTACATTTACAAATAGAAGAATTAACTGGTTAGTCAGTCTCCAAATTGGCTAGGAAATAGGAGAGGATAGCTTTCTTTACTGATTTCTCTCCAGTCTACGCTTGTTTCTAAATGATGGTCAAAATATTGATGAAAACTGCAGTCCCTGCACCTAACCTCTCGTCCAAAGGAAAAACAGAATAAGAAAAAGGAGAGGAGTTCCTGTATTCTATCTGGGCCATCCATTTGTCACTTACAAATTTTCTTTAATATTGCATTTATTGCTTGCAGTTATGGGATGCTGAATTGACGCAGCAGATCTCATCACGTCCTTCTGTTCAAAGAGTGGTTGCATTGGGAACTCTGTTTGCTCTAGAACTACAAGCAGAAGGGAGCAATGCTGGGTATAACATCATTTACTTGTTCTTTTGTGCCAGTTCTCGTGCATGAATTACTTTACTTTCATTGTTATGAACATTTTTATTTTTTTGCCTCCGGTTAATGCTCTAGATTTAGTTGTTTAACCTGCATGTTATGAACCTCCTTGCCGAGGTAATGGACAACATCTTTTCCAACAATACAGAAGCTCAAAGTTCCTTTGGTATATTGCTAAAGTTTTGTTGGTGAAGCTAAATATATCATGATTTTATCATTGGATGATATGAACCACCAGCATAGATGATTTGACTCCTCAAGGAATACTTTATACACATTGATGTGTTTTGAGTTTGGAACATTTCTCTGAAAGCTTGTTCTGTCTGTCACCAGGCATAACATATATCCACACTTTATACAAGAATACCCCATTACTTCCATGGTTTTTAGAATCATGAGACATCATGCCTTTTTGTCAAGAAGCTTGCTTAATACTTGGTCGTTTCGTTATACTTTCATAACTCGCAAATATTTTGAACACGATCATATTTTTGTCTGTATATAATTTATGATTAAACATCATATACTTGCAAGCCCAAGCCCATACTGATTGGCTCTTTTGAACATCTTTCCTCCGTCTTGTGTCCTCTAGTCTAGCTCTAATCAGGGGAACACAGGTCTAAGCTGGAAAACAAGTCTAGTTTTGGGCGAGGGGTTGTCCTTCAAGCCTGTTAAGAAATGCCTCATTTTTGGCATTGGGCTTGAGATTTGCTCCTGCAGACCAACCAAAAAAACACATGTATACATGCCTGTAGGGGCGAAGCTAGGATTTATAAAGGAGAGGGGCAAACTACTATTTTTATTATGAGAATATTATGAAAAAATAGAGGGGGGCAAAATGGTTAAACGTATCTTTAAAAACATCCAAGGTTCAAACCTTGTGAAGGGAACCTGTTTCTTTTTAAATAGGTTGGGGGCTATTGCCCCTCTCCTCTAGCACGTAGCCTTGTCCCTGTATGCCTGGCCAACCCCAATTTTTGAATAGTTATTGTTGATATGATGATCAAGAGCAAGATGTAATTATAAATGATTATATCAAAATCAACATGCATGGTCTTGTTATTTGGTGTATTATTGCTAGCAATTTGAAAAGATTCTTCGGTAGACTATCTCTACCAAGCTAGCTGGAGATTGACCCATTAAAGCTGATGGTCAAGTGTCAATTAAATTTTATATTTAATTGTGGTGAATTTGTATTTGAGTGCTTATTGTCATGTAATAACATGTCACTCTCTAGTAGGATTAGTTTACAGCTGATGTGATAGATACCTAAGAATTTTGCAACAACTCACAGGCTGTAGTTGACTTTGAAAGCAATTATTTATGCTTCTGAACGAGCATCCATTCTAACTCTGAGGTTGTGCAGCTTGAATTCTCCTCAGTTGTAATACCATGTCCTTTTCTAACATACTTGTTACTAAAACATTACTTTTGTGTTGCTGTGTTTAGTTTAAGACAAAAGCCTGATAGGGTGGCTGGTTTTGTACAGATATGCATCGCTGTATGCGCGGTCTCTTCTTCAGAAGCTCCGTGAAGATGGTGTTTACATGAGACCTTTGGGTAATGTCATCTATCTTATCTGCGGGCCATGTACATCTCCTGAAATATGCAGGCAACTACTCATCAAACTTCACGCAAGACTTGAAGAGTTCAACCAAGCTAAAGAGCAGCAGGCTTCCTGTTAACTGTGAACCCCAATTTCCGGTTTTCATTTTCTGAATAAAGGAAACTAAAAATTCCCTCGGACTATTTTGAATACATTATTATTTTTGTCAATGACATAAGTAATACTGATAACTTTGTTGATGAAATGCACATTAAACAAGGATATGATATGAAATTTAAAAAGTATTCTCTTTAAAAAAATAAGACTATAATTTAAAATAAACGAAAAAGGAAAATAAACTTATATTAAATTATCCATATTGCATATTTATGAGAGAAAGGGAGTATATTTTTATTTATATTTTTCTAATATATATTTAAACTAGTAAATACATTTTAATGTAAGTATCAAAGTATGACAAATTATTTTATGTAGCATTTATGTATTTATATAGCTTTTAATGATATGAATAAATTATTTAATTTATAAATTTAAATGATAGGAGTAGTTATTGTTTATATTAATTTCAAAATAAATTAAATTAGTGATATTTATATAGCTTTTAACCATATGAATAAATATTTAACTCATGGATATTTAATGACGTGGACGATTATTATTATATTAACTCCAAAATAAATTATATTGGTGACATTTACATATCTTTTAATGATAAAAGTAAATTATTTATTCATGTATTTTGGTGACATGGCAGTTACTATTTTATACAATATCAAAATAAATTAAATTAGTAATTTGTATTGACCTTTACTCAAATCTTTTTTTTTCCCCTATATCCCTATAAAATCTATCATTTCCAATCCACACTCTTTGTTTTATATTTTTCATTATCATAATATGAATAAGATTTAAATGTTAATATTTATATACAATCATATGTATTACATTTCATATGTTTAGCTGCTTTTTATTATTTATTTTATTTTTAATTGCTTACTGACTTTAGCATAGAAATGATTTTCTTAAGTTTTGTACTTTTGATTTAAGACAAGTAAAAAATATATGTATTTTTATGAGATGGATTAAATAGTTAATAGAATAAAAGAACAAAATAATTAATAATTATTTTGCATGGAAATGGGCTAAGCGTGGGGCCGTGTGTCAACTTCGATAATGTTGGTTGGCATGCATTTTGTGATGCTTCAATATTTTAAAGAAAAGATGTAACGGTTGGTGCGGTAGTGTTTGAGGATGGTGAAGACAGGTTCTTGCAAGTTGTGTCTACTTATTTTGCGGGATGCAAACCGCCTGCTACAGCTGAAGCTTTGACTTTTCGTTCTGCTCTATTTTTTATTGGTGATCATTATCAGTCTAGTGGTCATATTTTTGGTTGATTGCCAGGTTTTATTTTGTATTTTGAATTCTCAAACTTTAGATCTTTCGGAATTTGGGGTTACGGTGGAAGATTGTAGGTAACTCTTAGTTGATAGGCCGGATATTCATATTCGATGGATTCGGCGTACTATGAATGGTGCTGCTCATTCCCTTGCTAGAGTATCCATTCGCTTTTTACCACTTTGTATTTGGAAGAGTGTCCCTAATGTTCTCCTTTCCTGTTACATTTAATAAAATAATGATCATTTTCTCTTAAAAAAATTAATAAAATAAAATATTATAGACCCACTAAATTCAGTTTTGAAAACAAAGATTTCTTGGTGGCTTTGTGGGTGTGACAAAAGAAATTCAGGAACTTGTGTTTGTGAGGAAAAATAAAAAATGTTTAGTGTGATGTAAAGCTGCAATGAGCTTACTAGCTAATTATTAGCTTTATGCTTCTATTTTCTTCACTCTCTTTTTCTCTGTGTTGAATTTTGTCATGATCTTCCGTATTGTACTTCCTTCCAATCATAGAATTGATGATCACAAAATAGTTACTTTAATTAGTCTAAAAAAATTGATGTTTACTTATATTATTTTCCAGAGTATTTTCTAATTATATACTTTTTTTTGAGTATTTTGAAAATGTTTATCCGGTAAAATTAACTGTTTTTGTAACTGATAACTGTTTTAATAACATTTAACTGTTAGCTGTTTGAGTAATTTTTCATAAAACATTAAAAACTAAACATTACACGAATTAACTTTTTATATAATACCACCTTAACCTCTAAAAATTAATTAAAACGCTATATTATCAAACACTATAAAAAGTAATGTTTAGCATTTTACTTAGAAATCCGTGGCTGAACATAGCCAAAGAGTGACTGAATTTGCATCAATTGCTGAATCGTAGATGTATTTAGCAGCGTTGCTCCTTACCATATTTTGGTTCTAATAAATTTAAAAGTAAAGTACATTTGAGTTCCTAAATTATACCTTAATTAATATTTTTGTTCTTTTTGTTTTAAAAACTTTATTTCCTTAAAATCACTATCTATCTTAAAAATTATCTTTTTTTTTTCTAAGATATGAGCATATTATAAGCAAAAAGTGCATTTTACTATTGATAAAATGCTGATATTTGAATGAAAAATGCTAATTTCTAGGATCGTATCAGCAAATATTAGAGATGTGATAGTAATTTGTCAAAAATAAATATATGAAAATTTAGAGACCTAATTATATTTTATTCCTAATTTAAAATTAACAATTTAGTTTATATTATTAATGAAATATAAAAATTTTGCAAAAGACTAAAATATTTTATGTTATAATAAATATTAGGTTATTAATAAATGTCAAACTACTAAATTATTTATTATTTTTACTCACGATATAAAACTACTTATTTTTAAACAATAAATATTAAAAAATATATTAAAAATTTTCTAAATTAATTTAGAAAAATTAAAACACCAATATATAAATTTGGAAAAAAAAATTATAAATCATCTCTAATCTCAATTTTTTTTTATTGAATTGAAAATATTGACTTAAATACCAAACCTAACTTGATAATAAGGACCATAAATTTAAACTATTCAAAGGACACCTGCCAATTGCTATCAACTATAAATATAGAATAACATTAAAACATTAAAATAAAAAAAAAAGCCAAATGATTCTTGTCCAGAAAAAAGTGAAATTCATTTATATCCAAAAGCAAAAGAGAAAGCAACATTAATACAAAATTAAGCAAGTGACGTCCATGTCCTCACTCATTATGACGTCATTTAATAATTTTCTCACTAAATATACCCTGTAGTGACAGGTAACAATTATCCTTTCGGGAATGCTTTTGTCTTACAAATTGACGGCGAAGATTCCATCCGTGTTAAATCAAGTCGGAAAAATAACTTGGATCAAGATAAGCCGATGGTAATAAAAAGCCACCGTTGTCGCTATCACCGTTGATTCATCATAAGAAAACAGCAAAAGAAAAAGTCAATTGACTTGGGTAGTGCGTACGTTATACTAGAGAGTACGTGATCATTCTCCCCTCTTCATTGCCAAAGTAAGAGTCGCCAGAGTAGACCAAGATAGAATTTTTAATTTACTGAAAATTAATTAAGAAATAGAAGAATTAAAAAAATATCCGAAACAAAGAGGGGACACTTACAAAGTAATATATACAGTATTCTATTACTCCTGCCGGCTTTTGATCTCTCTATCCAAACTCTCTTCTAGTTCTTTGGTTTTCGTTCCATTTCTGTTTGGTGACTGAGAAAATTTTAGCAGGTGGCTTAATTGAATTTAAGGTTTTTTCTTTTTCTTTTTTTCTTTTATTTTTAATTTTATTATTTGGTTACTTTATTTTTGTTTTTTCTTTTGTACTTATTGAGGTGGAAAGGGGTATTATGGATTTGATTGGATATTTATATGGGGGAGTTAAATATTTGGTATTTGAGCTGAATTTATTGGTGAGTGTGGATCTGTGGTAAGAGGAGTGTTTGATAGTTTGGAGCTTTTGAAAATTGTGTGTTTTGGTTTGTTTTCAGATCTGGAAGCTAGGGTTTCTATAATTGGGTGAAAATGCAAACCAGATATATGGAGAGGACTAATAGTATGGCTAGAGGGAAAAGAGCTTTAGAAGGTGGAGAAGAGCAGCAACCTGAGCGAAAGCGGCCTGCTTTGGCTAGGTAAATTTGTGGGTTTGTGTTTAATTGTTTTTGTGGATTGTAGGCTTTGTTAATTTTATTGACTTCTGTGAATCCTGGTTTCAAGCTGTCGTATGCATCGGCGGACAATTTTATAGTTGAGTTATATCATGTTGCGTTGTGTTTACTCTTATCTTCTTGCTAGTTTGATTCAACTTGAAAATTGTATCAGGTTTTGATGTTGGAAAATGCGTTATATTCTCTTCAGTTGAGTTGCTTCATCACTGAAATAGCTGTTGTTGCATTTGTATGATCATATTGGTCAATTTAGTTTGATCTTTGGAATATAAGTTTTTCGTAATTTTACTGGGTATATTTGGATTTTTTTTTTTTTTTTTTTTTTTATATTTGGATTGTTTTTTTTTTTTTTTTTTTTTTTTTTTGGTACACTGCACGGTTGCTTCTTGATGGTTGGTTCTGCTTAGGTTCCTTAAACTCTTAATGGGTGGCTCCTAAAGTGTGGTAGATTTTTGCAGTATTGCCAGCATAATTCGGATGCTAAAACCACCAGCAATCTATTTTATTCAAAACTTTACATGTGTTTGCTAGGTTTTGGTTTCTTTTCACGTCCTCTCCCAAAAATTTTTTTTTTTTTTTTTTTTTGGTACACTGCACGGTTGCTTCTTGATGGTTTGGTTCTGCTTAGGTTCCTTAAACTCTTAATGGTGCTCCTAGAGTGTGGTAGATTTTGCAGTATTGCAGCATATTTCGGATGCTCAACCACCAGCAATCTATTTATTCAACACTTTACATGTGTTTGCTAGGTTTTGGTTTCTTTTCACGTCTCTCCAAAAATTTATTTTTCCTCTTTAAAATACTCTTAATGGTCTGCTGTCTTTTGAAGACATGATTATTATCGTTTTATATTTTGTTATTGCAATGATGGTCTCATGTGAGTTATTATTGTTAGATCCATAACCTGTCGAGTTCTATCTTAATGCAAATTGATATGCATGCAGTGTCATTGTAGAAGCTCTTAAGGTGGACAGTCTGCAGAAGCTCTGCTCATCTCTGGAACCTATTCTTCGCAGAGTTGTAAGATATTTTACTTTGCTTCTCTACTTTATTCCTATGGAATGATCAAGAATTATTTGTGGAGGACTACATTTTTGGGAAACTGGTTTAGTTCAAATGTCCATATCTGGGTTTAGGGATTTAGGGAAGTTGGGATGAATTCTTAGCAGCATCAGATGCAGTTTCTGGGGATCACTTATTTGAATCACAGAATCACATTTGAGATTAAATAATCAAACTCATCGAATGGTCTAAGGCATCTCGGCATCTCAGCTCACTCGTGAGGCACTTAAGCCTGAAAATCTCTATTAGCTTTTTATTTTTAAAGATAGAGTTTTAAAAATGTGTCAAGTAAGAGTTCCCATCTTGGAGGTGAAGTTGACTTGGGAGTTCAAATTAGTAAGTGCTTATTGTTGAGACTTGGATGAAGTTCTGTGATAGATTGTCTGACATGAGCAAGGGGCTGCAACTGCACAGTTTCATAACTAAACCAACTCATTCCTCACAAAATTAAAATGTTACCCCTGTTCACTTGACAACAATAAAGCAAACCTTTATCCTACCAAATTAGTTCACAATTAATCAAGCTCTTAGTCTTGTGGGCCCTGTGCTAGTTGGCTTGGTTTCTTGGGGAGCCAAACTTATGTCTTCCAAAGATAGTTTTTGCATATGCTATTTTATGGTTTTAATTATCACCTATTATGTATCTGATGTAACTGATGCCTGTTCCAGATGCACACCTGTAATTTCTTAAATCAGAAGTTCAAAACAGCACTCTATTGGCTGAAACATGTGCATTGGATACCATGTCACTAACAGTTTAATAACTGCTAACCCATTAATTCCTGTTGGAAGCCTTTTTTTTTTTTTTCCTGTTTTACACTCTCTTTTTAGTGGCCCTTTTACTTTTCCAAATGAATTATGTTTTATAATCTAATAAAGTGCTCCTTCAGGTGTTTAGTCTATTCATATATTGCATATACAGTTAAATTCTTTGTTTAATGTTGATTTGAGTCTTTTTGCTAATGCTGTGAAACCTTGATGGTAGCAGCAGCTTGTTTAGCTTGGTTCAGTGAAAATGTTACAGATTGCTATTTCGCAACCAAATCCATTATTTAAAACTGTGTTCTCCCACCCTTAAATTTGTCAGTTTGATGTTGTACCTATACCTGCTTGATATGTCGGTGTGTCTAAGTCAATATTTTTAATAATTAAACAATGACATTAGCAAATATAGTGATGTGGAATGTAATTAATTTTGGTGAAAGACAGGAGAATAGGTCAATGTCACATGAATGTGATTACTTGTGGAAATTTTTTTGTCAGTGAAAACATATTGATTGGTTAGCTCATTATCTTGTTAGGCATCTTTTTTAGATACATGTGTATATCAAATAATTTTCATCTTTTATCTGTCTTATTGTGTCATTGCTTTTTGTGACAAACAGGTAAGTGAGGAAGTGGAACGTGCTTTAGCAAAGTTGGGCCCTCCTAGAATCAACGGAAGGTATGATCCATTCTTGATTAGAATATCATATTTGAGTTGTTTATTTCTGAGTGTTAGCGGCAGCTGTTTTGATGGTTATACTGATACATTTTTTTTCCACCTCTATGAATAAAAACAATAGTAGATCATTCAGAGTTGGGATCTATCAATATCAGTGGAAAGGAAAGGAAATTAACTGAACTTGGCCATATTGACCTGGCCTTTCAAGTTCAAGTGGTGTAAGGCATTAAAATACTAGGATTATATCCTCAGTTCAACAGGCAAAAAATTCTCTTGTAGATGAGAGCAGTTTGCAATTGTTTCTTGGGATTTTGTGTACAGCTATCCCTAGCCCATATCAAATGGATAAAGAAAAAAAGGAAAAAAAAAAAAAGAAATTGCTTAAGAGTGTCAGCAAGCTGCAGTATCCATAGAAAGGACAATATTTACTGGACAGGAACTAATCATAATCGGCAGCTGAAAGAAAATAACAGACTTGCCCTTTAAAATGAGATATTCTATCCATGTACCACAGAAGAGATGGGATTTTCCTCTCCCTCAAAGTCATCGTATTGTGTTTAGCCAAAAAGTATCGAGAGGGATTTAGGCAAGAAATTCCTTAAGATGTCACTCATTATGGTTTTTAAGTGCTTTGTTGAAATATCATCTGATTTTACTTTGTACTGACACATTAAGGACATGGTATGAAATATTTGAAGAAATATGATCGTCACAATTGGTAGCAGTGGTCAAGATGATTGCCTATGTGCCAAAATTGTAGCTTGTTTGTAAATTTGGTTCACAAACACATACCATCTTTTCTGTTCTCTATTTGTGAAAGAAATAATTGAGGTGCTTTTTGTGAATAGCATTGCTGTTGGTTATGGAATCCTGATTATGTCCTTAGAAGATTTAGTTCCCTGAAAGTTTTGTGGCAGTAGAAGGTTTTGTTGCCAGGCCAAGTATTATTTAATCTAGGTTTTGTTAATAAACAAGCCTCAGCCTTGAGTTGATGATGCTTATGATTCACAATAGCTGAAGAGAACATTGAAAGAGGTGGAAGTTTTTTTGATATACCCATGGGTCTGTCTTTGATGTACTTCTTTTAGCTGCTGCTTGCATATTATGGGATAATAGACATTGTTCCTATGTTCTGTCTTTAAAGTTTTATTCTTTGGATGTAAGTGAAGCTTATGAAATCTAAAATTGAGGGAATGAAGCCCCTTTGTTGCACATTATTTTGGCTGATATGATCTATCCAGTTTGATTTTGGATATTTTAATAACATTCATATATTTTTCCTTCTTTTTTTTTTAGCCATCTTTTGTGTAAAATGTTTTGATTCTCACTTTAACGCACTTTCTTCCCTCTGTTACCTGGGATATGAGTTTCTTGCTAGGCATGATATATTGTTCTAACATCTTTTATTTCAGGACTTCCCCAAAACGCATTGAAGGTCGAGATGGGAGAAGTTTACAGTTGCACTTCAGATCCAGGTTGTCTCTTCCTCTTTTCACAGGAGGAAAAGTAGAGGGAGAACAGGGTGCTGCAATCCACATTGTTCTGATTGATGCTAACAGTGGCCATGTTGTGACTGCTGGCCCTGAAGCCTCTGTGAAACTAGATGTTGTGGTGCTTGAAGGTGATTTTAACAATGAAGATGATGAAGACTGGACACAGGAAGAATTTGAAAGTCATGTTGTAAAAGAGCGTGAAGGAAAGAGACCACTGTTGACTGGGGACTTGCAAGTGACCCTGAAGGAAGGGGTTGGAACACTGGGGGAGCTTACTTTTACCGATAACTCGAGCTGGATAAGGAGCAGGAAGTTTAGGCTTGGCCTGAAGGTTGTCTCTGGATTTTTTGAGGGTATTCGCATTCGTGAGGCTAAGACAGAGGCTTTTACTGTGAAAGATCACAGAGGGGAACGTGAGTTCTCACACTGCATTGTTTTTGTTTTTCATGTTATGCTTATTGGATGATGTTGAATTCATATTCTTTTCTGTTGACAGTCTACAAGAAACACTATCCCCCTGCACTGAATGATGACGTATGGAGATTGGAGAAAATTGGGAAGGATGGTTCCTTTCATAAGAAGCTAAATAGTCATAAAATATTTACAGTTGAAGATTTCCTGCGTCTTCTGGTCAGGGATCCTCAAAAGTTGCGGAATGTAAGTAATAAGATATGATTCTTGAAGCGTCTTTGTATTTATCTTCTGATCTGCCAATCTGTTGGATGCAGATTCTGGGGTCTGGTATGTCAAACAAAATGTGGGAGGCACTTGTAGAGCATGCGAAGACTTGTGCCCTGAGTGGGAAGCTTTATATCTATTATCCGGAAGATTCAAGAAATGTTGGTGTTGTTTTTAACAACATCTACGAGCTAAATGGTCTTATTTCAGGAGAACAATATACTTCTGCTGATTCTCTTTCAGATGAGCAAAAGGTTGGCCTCATCTAATACATTATAAATAATTTTTTGAATGGTATGGCTGTAGTTCTTATGGTTGTTCTGGTATTTCATGTCTGGATCCAATGTTTTTTATATGTAATTACCATGCAGTGTTCCTCCACTATTTTGACAGATGGTAATTATCCATATTGAACCTTTTGTGCATTCATATTTTACTTATTCTTTTTTCACATTAAGCTTCTGTTGTTTCTGGAAAATATTAGAAAATATTTTTCAAATAACTCATTTTCTGTTGTTTGATTACAATATCAAAATTAGCTAAAAATATTAAACTTATTAGACCATAAAAATATTTATAATTATAGAAATTTCATTTTTTAAAAATTTATTGTTAAATGTGAGAAACAATGCATAAAAAGGATAAATTATGATAGTTGCCGGTGACCAGTGGTGGTGGGCTAGTGACCGATGGCCAATGGTAGTGGCTGCTAGTAGTGACCAGTGACTGGTGATGGTGGCTATTCGTGATTACTAAATTAATAGATGTATTTATAAGGTTATAATAAGTTAATATATTGAAAATATTTTCCTCTCGTGAAAATGGAAAGTCATTTTCCTTAAAAATGACTTTTTTTTTTTTTTTTGACCAGGAAAATATTTAGTTAATATATTGAAAATATTTTCCTCTCGTGAGAAATGGAAAGGTCATTTTCCTTAAAAATGACTTTTTTTTTTTTTTTGACCAGGAAATATATTTTTTTCCTTAAAAATGACTTTTTTTTTTTTTTTGACCAGGAAAATATTTTCCATTGATTGATTTTCCTGAACACTCTAATAAATTGGAAAAGCTGAAAAATATTTTTTGAACAAGTTATTTTCCGGAAACAAATGGAGCCTAAGTAGCAGAACTTTGTTATCTAGCAATTGAAATAGGCATTACTTTGTGAACATGTAGGACCAAATTTGAGAACATGGCCTCAGAAGTAATGTCTGATGCCATGTTTATATCTTGTATGGTTTTCCAAATTAAATTTTCTGTTCACATGATCATGCTTAATTTTAGCTGAAACTTGGTTAGTCACCTGGCCACTTTCCTTGAGGAAATTCTCAAGCAGCATCACTGTTTATTAATATTGTATTCCCTGCCGTGTGCTAAGCTCATCTACGTCATCATGATGCTGCCACTTTGGGATGATGATACAATTCAAAGTTAAATGCCCCTACATTCATCTTTCCTTATTTGATAATCATCCAAGGTTTATTTGATTTTCCTTTATTGCTTTTAGCCTATTCCAAAGTCATAGTCTTACCTTACTATTCTCTCCTCAGTGACATGCTCTATTGTTCTCTCTTCACTGATGTCTTTGTAAGTAGATATTTGTGGAGAACAAAATTCATAAATGACACACAAAGCTTTATGTTCTTCCATTTCAGCCATAGTCCTATCCTGAGCCTCCAATTTGTTGGGTTTTAAAATTCGTTCCAATGGGGCATGGGCATCTGCATGTGGCTCTGTGGATTGCCTGTTTTTCATTGCATGTTTTCTGCATGTGAAGAAACTGTGGCAAAGGGAGAGAAGCTGGGGAAGCCCAGTTCTGCGTGTTCTTGGCTTTTTCTACTGCTTCATTCTTCTGATTTACAAGCCATGCATTAAGTAATCTGCAACTCCTGGATTACGTTCTTATTTGATTGAAGGAGATGGCAGCCAGAGGACTAATACTTTTATGAGAGTTCTGAGGTGTTAAATTATGATATCAAATTTAATTTTTTAATCAAATCTTAAATTTAAATTTTTACTTCGATTTGATTAAAGTCAGATTTAAGTTTCATGGAGTGGGTATATCTTGTGTGTTACTTTTTTTCCGAGCGTGACTTTACTCACTAAAAATGATTTTTGTAGGTCTATGTGGATACGCTGGTGAAGAAAGCATATGAAAATTGGGATCAGGTTGTAGAATATGATGGCAAGTCTCTTTTGAACTTCAAGCAGAGTAAGAGGTCAAATGCTGTCCGAAATGATTTTCAGATAGGCCAAATGGGTTATCCTAATTCTTTAGAGCATCAAATGCAAATACCAAGGCTACCAGCATCAGTTCTTATTGAGCAGCCTTCTGTGCATTCGGGCCTCCAAGTTGGAGGTATGTTCTTATTAGTTACATTAATATTTAATTTGCTGTGTCATTTAACAAGGCGCTTTTTTTTCTGCCTTTTTCTCCTTTTTTATTTTGTACGTTTATCTGGCATCAGGGAGTAGTGATAATATGGGAACAGGATTCTCATCCCAGTCCCAGCTTATGAATCCAAATTCACGTACCCAGTTTGACATCTCATTTACACCACACGAATTGATCACCAATTCTCACCAGACTAGCATGAGAAATGATAACAGTGTTGGCCTAGCCCTTGGTCCTCCTCAGTCATCTATGTCAGGGTTTCAAGCTGTTGGCTCTTCCATGCAGCCATCTAATCTCAATCCTTTTGATGATTGGGCCAACAACCGGGACAAAGGAGTTGATGAATACTTTGCAGAGGAAGAGATTCGTCTCCGAAGTCATGAAATGCTTGAGAATGAAGATATGCAACACTTACTACGACTCTTCAGCATGGGAGCCCATGCCTCTGTAAATATACCTGAAGATGGGTATGGATTCCCACCTTATATGCAATCACCAATGCCAAATTACGATGAGGATCGTACTCGTCCTGGTAAAGCTGTCGTGGGATGGTTGAAGATCAAGGCAGCAATGAGATGGGGATTCTTTATCAGAAAGAAAGCAGCGGAAAGGCGGGCACAACTTGTTGAGTTGGATGATGAATAGTTAGGTTCTGAGGGTCAAGACTATCTGCAGCATCACAAGATATGTAGGGGAAAATGCTGATTATCTTCTTCTTCTAAGCCAGTGACATATTGACATTTTGGGACTGAATTAAGTTGTTTTGGAAGTCTTGACTTCTTGACCGGTTGCTGGGTATTAGTTGGCAGCAAATTTCTTGTACAGTTCCCTGTACAGTAAGTTGTTTCTTTAATTTTACTCCTTGAGTTAGCGAAGATGCTATTTTCTGATAGCTTTTATTATTGGGTGTATTATAATCTGTTAAAAAGATTGATAAGGGGTGAATTTGTCTCCGTTGATGGCCCCTTTGATTCTTCTAGACTGATTAGGGGAACCTGTTTCCTCTAGTAGGTATGACGTTTTAATTTGTACTATCAATCAGTGTTTGGTCTAACCTGGTTGTGGCACTTAGTTACCATTACTTTTGTGGATTGCTTCTTTCTTTCAACATCCTTTGTGAGGATATGACGTTCTGTCTCTGACATTGAATTATGCAATTTTGATTTTGTACCCTGTTTTCTATTCTTCTAAGTTTATGGAGTTAAATAAGGTTAGGGAGATGAAGCTGAAAATTTGAAATAGGGTAACAGAAAGTTATTGATATTGCTAAATTTGATAGCCATTTAAAGAAAAACGGAAACTGTAGTTCAAAATTAACTTTATTTTTAGTGTCGGTTTTAGTTTGGTGGTCTTCAGAAACTGGTTTGGTGCGGTCTCGAGCCAAACCCGATGAATGTTTTGACAGATTGTTATCTCTCTTTTTGTTATATGGTTCAAATTCGGTAAGTTTGATTCAGGTTCGATCAGATTCGAGATGGGAATAGGCCTTGGCTGACCTATTTATTCTATTCGGAAATGAAATATTGGACATTTAAGCCATATAAAGCTATGCAATGCAGCTAGTAATAATGGTGCGTGGCGTCAGCAGCTTGAAATGGGGCGGGAAAGGATGAAAAAGAAGGGTCACGCAGTTTGTGCACTCGTAGAAACTCGAAACCGTTTCTGTACTTAACCGCATAATGACGTGAAGTTGATAATTTCAATCCCTGTAACAATAATGCATTTCTCAACTTTTTGTTCTTGTTGAATTTTTCTTTTAATGGTTTTGTATTTCGTTCAGATTAGCAGCTGAGAGTAGTTGGCGTTGAACGCTCAACTTTTTAACTTTTATACGTTTGAGGAGGGACAAGCTTCTATGAAGGAAACTTGTGAAAATCTTCCACCATCATCCTAGTTCTTGAAATTGTTCTCCGCCGCATTTCTGTCGAACCCATAACACTTGAATGTATCATTAGCTGCTTCTTCCTTTTGCTACTTAAAGTATCAAAATCCAATTCAATCCTATCACATTCCCATTCTTCCCATAACTGAGAAAGAGCTTCTTCGGTTCAATTGATTTCTTCCTCGAGCCAAAGCACATTGAGATGGCATATTGTTATTTGAGAAAATACAATCTTAAAAAAAAAAAAAAAAAAAAAAAAAAAAGAAAAAGAGCTCTTCGGTCAATTGAATTTCTTTCCTTCGAGCCAAAGCACATTGAGAATGGCATATTGTTATTTGAGAAAATACAATCTTAAAAAAAAAAAAAAAAAAAAAAAAAACTAAAAAAAAAAAAAAAAAAAAAAAAAAAAACTATCTTGTATTAATTATTGCAATTCAACTTTCACATACTATACTGAGGGTTGTTTGATTTTGTTGTTGAAGATAACTAGCTACTGTTGCTATAGAATATAGAATTAGAATGTTATTAAAACTATATTATTTTATACATTATCATATATATACTGTACCTTGCGTTCTAGTTTGTTAAGATGAGTATGTTATTTTTTATTTTAACGTGTTCTAAAATAAAACGTTAATAAAAAAATAATATTTAAAATAATTATAAATATAAAAACATTAATCTAAAACAATGATTTTATTAATACTTGCTTTGACAAAGTAAATATAATATAAATATAAATCAATTCTAAATAATTAGCCAGACACTTACTAATTATTTTGCTTCATGAATCTAATTAAAGATAATTTATAACAAAATTAAAGGATTTTATAAATAAAAAAAGGAAAATATCTCTAATCAATAAAATGAGGGAAAATATTTTTTATTTAGAAGTAAGGTGACTTTTGTATAATTTATTAAGTTTGTCTCGGTTCAGACGTTCAATCAAAAGGTAGACTATCAAGGCCGGAACTAAAAAAATTCGTAGATGAATAAAAAAAACATTATTATTTAAAAAAATTAGAGGTAACCCACCTGCCTCTTGGATTCACGAAATTGTAAAAATTACCGTGGTCAAATAGATTTGACCCCAAACCTTTCACTTCTTATATAAGGGAGCAAATCACGTTTAATTAATAATTTTTATTTAAAATTTTTGAAATGAAAAATAAGAGAACTATTAGGTTTGTTAGTCATTGTTCTTATTGGCTCAGGCTACAGTATGATGTTGATGTCCCGATTTAAGACACCTTATAGGGTGCATCGACCTCAAGCAGTGATGGGAGAAATTCTTATCTAAAATTTGAAATCATATATTAAACTCTAATCAATAAAATAAAAGCACAAACCGATTCATCAACTAGCCAACCCTTGAAAGTTTAGGTCTCAGTTGTTATAGTTGTTTGTTTTTAGTTTTTTATTTATTAGAAACATAAAGATGTTTTTAGTTTTTGGTTAATTATTTCTCAAAATTGTTTTTTTTTCCTAAAATTATTTTTTCTTTTCTTTTAGTTCATGATGTGAAAAATTCTTCCAATTATCAAATCTCTCTCTTATTAAGTCATTAAAGATTTTAGTTAATAATAAAAAATCTAAAAATATAAAATCTAAGACAAAATAATTAAAAATATTTCACACTTTAATTAAAAATATTTCACACTTATTTTTAAATTCAAAGTTAAATTAACTATTTGATTTATGTTATGCATCATTGAAATAAAAATTTAAAGTAATATCCAATATAATATCCAAGTATTATAATAAATAAGTAAATGACATTAGATTTATATGGATAGAGAAAATAATAATAAATATAAAAATAATACTAAATAGAGAAGAGATGAAAAAAAAAGCTTAGAATTTTAATTGAAATAATAAAACTAATGCTTATATATTTTGGATAAATAAATGACATTAAATTCATATGTATAGAGAAAATAATAATAATAATACAATTTTATGAGGATAAGCCTTATAAAAAATGAAAAAAAAAAGGAGGAATGTAGAATAAAAACAGAAAACACGATTACATAAACCATTATTTGTGATTTCATAAAATTTATTTTTTTGTTTTAAAAAACAGTTTTTAAAAAGTAAAAAAAAAAGTTTTGTTTATATTTTTAAGGAAAAAACAAAAAATAAAAAACTTAATCTAAAACTGTCACGACCCGATTCCATGGATCGGACCGGCACTAGGGCCCAGGTAAGCTTAAGGCCCCCGAGGCCCGTAGTAAGCCTGAAACACTAAAAATTTATTATCTCAATATAAATTTAAACATTCAGCCCACATCTACAGGAAAAATAAACCTCAATATTTTTATTTATATCTTGGCCCAAATTTATAAGTTACCACATTCCACAGTTCGGGCCCAATTAACAATACATCACATTTTAATATGGGCTCACGAAATAATTTCGTCTATGATAATACACGACTAAATGTAAGTAAATTATACTGCGGATCACTAACTATTTGTATACATAGGCTTTTATACATATAGTTACATAGCAAAATATTTATCGGAACTAGGAAAATTCTCTATTGCTCCCCTGCGGCCGAACCAACATAGCTAAATCGATTAAAGAAAAACTTTACTTCCGTGAAAAATCAAACAAGACATGTGAGTTTTCTAAGGCAGTAATAATTATTGCACAACCACACGCAGGTACACGACAATGTTGTTAAACATATCAATCTAGTCATACCGACTAAGTTTATATG